ACAGGGGTAAGGCTAGGCAGAGGGAAATCAGGGTCACACAACTTGGTGGGTGGAAGGAGGAAGATCAAGGAAGTGTGAAAGATCTCGTAGGGATCTGGAAAGACAGGATAATGGTGGGCATAGTTCAGTGGTGATTAATTTTATAAAATATAATGAATGGGAATGATTGTGTGAAACACAATGTGAATGAAAGATACTATGAAACACAATATGTACTAACTTTGTAAGTAAGCAAATAAAAAAAATAATAGTGGTAAAAAAAGATGACCTTTCCTGTCCATTGTTTGACTTTATTGTGTGGATAGGTGGGAATATGTGAATGGAGTATATTAACCTATCCACAAGGGCATTAGCTGTCTACCATTCCACAAAGGGATTGACCAGTTTTGCCATTGAATTGAGCAAGCCAGCAGGGAGAAGCATGCTGATCTTCTGGCATCGTTGAACAATAAGCAAGAGAATTTAGAATGCCCATCTTGCTCCTATGCAGCAACACCTATGGCTGAATCAGAGACCTGACGTGAGATGGAACCTTGAGGGGGGGAGAGCTAATCTTGGCAGGACTAAGAACTTTGTTGGACGGACAGCTGAGAGTGGGAAGCCAGTATAAGCAGGACTGAGAACTGGGAATGCTGGCCTAAAACCACGAGGCTCGAGACTGAGCTGCCTGCATGCACATTTCAGGAGCTCTCTTGACTGTATTCTGTTGTTAATCTGAATTGTAACGTTTTGGTTTTCCCCAGTATGGTTCTGTGTGGTCTGTGAGCTATTGCATTGGATCTTGGACTCAAGAAACAGTAAAATTAGTATTGAGATGAGTAGAAAGAGGTATGGGAGCATGGGGGACATGTCTGACCTCATGAAAATTGGTTTTGTGCTATTGATGCTGTTGTCAGGGACAGTTTACTTTTGTGAAGGTGGTAAAGGTCAGATATGGTTATCCCATGTGACTCTTGCTCTTTTTACAGCAGAAGTGATCAAACTTTGTCTTACAGACTTTGGGTATGTTGCCAAAAGGGGCTAGTTTCTGGGAAAAGACCTTATGTTCAGAAAAAGAGAATCAGGAAAGAAGAGGAACACTTGTCAGTAAAATGAATTGATGCTGTGACTGTAATGATGTCATCATAGCAGAGATTGGCACAGCAGAGGCTGGCACAGGCTAAGGCAAGGTTTCATTTGTACATAGAGTTGCTGTGAGTTGAAGGTGCCTTGACAGCACCTAATAACAACAGCATCCCTTACAAAATTACTGCCTCTTTGCTAGGTATCATGTGTTTGTACCATGATTTACTTAACTAGTTCCTCCCCCCCTTTTTTTTTTCATTGAAGCAATGTTTTGTTGAAGGTCTTTAACTATCTTTCCAAATTTACATGAGCATTCTTAGATAATTGATTCCTGTTGTGTTGTTGTTTAATGCCGTCAAGTCGTAGACGACTCATAGCGACCCTATGAACGAACAGCCTGAGCACTGTTCGTACATAAGAGTTTCCGGAGGCAAGGCATTTTGGAAGTGGATGCCGCTCCTGCTTCCAGGCTTGATTTAGTCGGGAAGCTCCAGCCAACACTGTCCACCATGGGTACCCGTTACCACGATTGGCACATCACTGTCACAGGCTTCAGCAATTTCCAGATCAAGTTTATATATATTTAAATTTTATATATTCTATCAAATTGCTATCTCGAAGACTATACCAGCTTATACCTCTACTAGCTGCATAAGCAATTCTGGCACATTTTTACTATGATCTTTCCAACCTAGAAATAACAGTGCTATCCTTAATCTTTGCCCCTTTCCTTTCAGACATTCTGAAAGAAATGTGGAAAGGGGTGTTGGTGGTGTTAGGTGTCAATGAGTCAAGTATGACTCATAGCAATCCTGTGGACAAAAGATCTGATCCCTGTTCTATCATGCGCCATCCTCACACTTCCTGACACGCAAGAGCCCATTGCAGCAGTCACCATATCAATCTACCTGGTTGGGGGGTCTTCCTCTCCTTCACCAGCCCGCCACCCTGCCCAGCATCATTCCTCTCCAAGGATTAGTCCCTTCTAATAACATGCCCAAAGTGTATCAGGCAAAGCCTCATCATTTTTGCCTCCAAAGAGCACTCCGCTTATACCATCTCCAAGACATATCTGTTTATTCTCTTGGCCGTCCAAGGGATGTTTAATGCTCTTCTCCAAAACCACAGCTCAAAGACATCCATTCTTATCTAGCATCCTCATTAATTGTCCAAGCTCTCAGATGCATATCAAATGATCAGAAAGACTGTGGTCTCAATCAGATACACCTTAGTCCTCAAACTGGCATCATTACTCCTCAGTAATTTGGAGAGGTCCCTATTTGCAGATTTCCCTAGTACAGTATATCTCCTTATTTCCTAACTGCTGATATCAAGGGTGTTAATTCTGAATCCAAGCAAGGTGAAACTGTTGACAGTTTCAGTTTCCTCTCCCGTCTGTCATGATGTTGCCAGTAGTAGGAATCTTATTTTCTTGACATTAAAACATAATCCATACCTAAGGCTGCATTCCTTGGTCTTCTGCAACAAGTGCTTCAAGTCCTCCTCACTTTCAGCAAGCCAGGTTGTATCATCTACATAATGCAGGTTATTGATGAGTCTTCCTCCACTCCTGATGCCACGCTCCTCTTCAAAGATTCCAGCTTCTCAGATAATTTACTCAGCATACAGATTGAGTAAGTATGGAGAAAGAATACAACCCTGACACACTCCCTTCTCAGTTTTTTTTTTAAATTTTTTTTAATTTTATTTTATTATTTTTGTGTGCGTGTACCGTCAAATCAGATCTGACTGGTACAGGAGGAGATTGCCCCTCCTTCCCCGGCAGAGCATCTGGTGGATTCGAACCGTGCACCTCTGGGATTGTAGTTGCAGCTTCTTGCCACTAGGCCACCAGAGCTCCCCCCCTTGTCAGTTTTAAACCATGCAGTTTTCCCCTTCTCTGTTTGTACAGTAGCCTCCTGGTCCAGGTATAGGTTCCACATGAACACAACTAAGTGGTCTGGTATTTCCAATCTTAATGTCAGTCACAACTTGTTATGATCCACTCAGTCAAATGCCTTTGCATAGTCAATAAAGCACAAATTTTCCACATGGAGAATATTTTCTTGAAAACTAGAGTCACATTGGCATTAAAATTCAAATTTCCAATTCCTATTTTTAACTTTTTTTTAAATTTTTTTCATCTTAAAAAGGCTTTTAGAACCCAAAGACACTCTTATATAGAATATTAAAGCTTATACTCTCAGTTTAATCATTCTCCTAATATTTGTGGAGCACAAATTATTTTCTTGGTGCTCTGCAGTGACTACTTGAGGGCACATGACTGACGTGGTTTCTGAAGCCCTTACAGAGTTAACACTGTTGCGGAAGTCAGATAGTGAAACAGTGTGAAAAAGCATGTTGGCTATTCTGATCACAGATGATTGGGAGAATGTCTTACACAGCAGAGGGGTCTACTCATCATGGACAATTCCTTAGTAGAAATAAATCCTGAAGGAAGAGGAAGGAGATAATGGATAAGAACTGATGATGGATGTAGTTAGAGGGGGTAAAAAATGGAGTTTTTTTTTCATTTGTGCCTTAGACAGCTGCATGGAAAGGGTGCTGTTTGCTCAAATAGGAGACTTAGAAGGAGTGACTTCCCAGAGGAGAGTTGAGTAGAGTGTGAGGCATGGTGAGTTTGAGGAGCTGTGTGTGAGACACCCCTGTAGAGAGAAGCTCAGGAGTTCAGGAAGAGAAGTCTAACATGAAGAAAGGTTTGAGAGCTGTCAGTGTGGCAAAAACAATCTTGATTTTTTTCTTTTACTGTCATTGTTACAGCAACTGGCAAAGATACTTTTTCAACTTTTAAATGTGATTTGACTGAGACTTTCATAAAAGATTGGTTTTCCTTTCAGGAGTTCATATACTTTATACTTCCTGACATGTGTCAGAACTCTTCCCAGTTGTTCTGTGTTTCTCGTGTCCATTTGTCCTTCTTTCTTTCCCTTGTCTGCCTTCTGGGCTTTATCTTTGGGCCAGTGCGGCTCTTTTAATTTTGTATGGTAGATTTTCCTAAGCAGTAGGTTCCTCGTGTGTTACTGCTAACCGTGGGCCTGTCTATAATCTGACTTAAAGTTGAGTCAGAATGTTGTCAGTTCCAGGCTGATGGCGTGACTGACCAAGAGTCAAGGGAAAGGGTGTTTTTTGTGTTTTAAAAATTTTATGCATACTAATTCAAATAGTCTTCACAATAGCTCCACGAAGCTATCACTACTACTATTCTTTTATTGCTCGTGAAGAAATATAAGCACAGATGGTCTGACTTGATGAAGGTGGCACAGCTAATTAATGAAAGATCCAGAATTCACACCCGGGCAGTGTAGTGTGACCTTGGAGTCGTGCTCCTAACCATGTGCGGTGATGTTTGTTATACCAGCTGAAGCTAGGAGAGCTCTAGGCTCACCTGGAGGCAATGAAGAGGTTGTAGGAAGGACTCTGCTTTGAATTTATAGCATTCTTTGTTGTTGTTTTATAGGAAGCATCATTTATGTCTCACTTTTGTAATAAGGCAGAGCCTTGATTGTCTTATGGAGGCTGGTTAAGGAGGCCAGCCGCCTCCATAATCCCCAGCCTTTGTGTTTGTCAGCAGAGGGGATTTCTCGAGTCCTAAAATGGGCTAGCTTCTACATAGTTGAGGTTTATAGAACACGTGAGAGGTAATAGACCCAGAAGGAACTGGAAAGGAGCCATCTTGCTTGCTCACAAGTTCCTCCCAAATACTCTCCTCTGAAACCTGTCTAGAAGACCCCTCCCCAGTGGTTCTGCCTCAGTGTCCCCAGCCACGGGGGACTAGAGGCAGAAGACAGAGCACCTGGGACACTCTCTGGACCAGCTGTCTAGTCCCTTCCTGGTGGGCAGCAGTCTCATGTGGGCTGGAGTGGGAGAGACCCTTAAGAGACATGTTCCACTGACTGCTTCGTCCACATCTCCAGGTATGTGACGACTGTGTGGTGTTACGTAGCAACATCGGGACAGTGTATGAGCGCTGGTGGTATGAGAAGCTCATAAACATGACCTACTGTCCCAAGACCAAAGTGCTGTGCTTGTGGCGCAGAAATGGCTCTGAGACGCAGCTCAACAAATTCTATACCAAGAAGGTACCCATAAACTGGACTTGGGGTGGATGTGGGGTAGTCCTGGAGGATAAAAGCTTCTTGCTGGGATGTTGAGATGCCCAAATCCATCTGTAGGGATCGATTTTTGCCTCCAGCTACTCTGTGGGCTACACTTAAGCTCTATCTTTGAGGTCTGGGCATTGGCCTAAGCCTCAGCAGGCCTGCTAGCGCAGAGGGCGGGGACTCGGGAGGCCAGCATGACAGCTCAGCTCTCTCCCCATGTGCCAGTGTCGGGAGCTGTACTACTGTGTCAAGGACAGCATGGAGCGTGCGGCCGCCAGACAGCAGAGCATCAAACCCGGTGAGAGGCTTGGCCCCCTGCAGAGAACTGCTCCCTGAGGGAAGTCAGGCTGTGGGTGCCCCGCCTCACTCACGGATAACCTCTTTCCTTACCACAGGACCTGAACTCGGTGGCGAGTTCCCTGTGCAGGACATGAAGACTGGCGAGGGTGGCTTGCTGCAGGTCACCCTGGAAGGGATCAATCTCAAGTTCATGCACAACCAGGTAGGTGCACGTGGCAGCACCAGGCTTCCTAGGCCCATGTTCCATCTGTGAGAAGAATCGGTGTCCTGGTCCCCAGTGCTTTTCACTGAGCTTGAAGAGGGTGCCAGGGGTTAGGGGGAGAGCTGCAGCAGCTGGGCCAGAGAGAGAGTCTGAGAGGGTGAGGCGCCAGGGAGAGAGAGCGAGACTCGGAGGTTAGACTCAGTACAGTGTGAGTGGGAGCGTCTCACTGGACCCTCTTTGCAGTGTTTCTGCCTTCCTTCCTTCATCCCCAGGGTACGCTTTGGCTTGGTGGTTTTGCTTTGAGAGTCTAGACTGGCTGACCTCCTCGCGTCTTTCTGGTGTGTGTGTAGCTTCTGTATGTGCGAGTAGCTTGTCTCTCTTCCTCTCTGGGGTGCGTGTGTTTCTTGGCCTATTTCTCTTCCTGCTGATTCATCTTTGTGTCCTTTTCCTTCCTCCGAGTGTCCCCTCTCTGTCCCTGCTCCACAGGCCCCACGCCCTTTCTTTTGACTCGGGAGCACTTCACAATAAAGCTTTCCCTCATTGTGATTCCACCAGAGAAGCTGACTTTTTCTTCCCCTTTCTCCGTTGGTCTTTTAACACAGTGATACCTTTCCTCTCAGTGGACATTCCTTAAGCTAATTCCTTCCTTTCTGCGGCCAGCGCATCATCCCAGGTCCGTTCGCAGCTCTGACTCTTCACACAAGTGCCTTTCCCCTTCCCTGAGGTGCTGGTTGTGCTCCCTGAGGCCCGATCCAGGGCTGCAGCAGGTAGCACATGGCCCTGGCCAGGCTCCTGCACATCTGGACTCTCGCCATGGCTTTCTCTCTCCACTTGGCATTTTAGTTCTTTGGGCATCTAACTGGGCAGCTTTGGTGTGATGGGAAATAGCTACCTATTCTTCTTGGCAGTCTCTTAATCTATTTTCAATCTGGCCTCAGGGTGGCAGGAAACTCCTAGCAGCTTTAAGATTAGCTCTAGGAGAGGCTTGCCCAGTACCTTTATGGACCATGTTGGTGCCATTACTTCTTGGGGAGTGTTGGTGCCAGTACTTCTTGGGGAGTGAGCCTCTGAGCATATTTTCAGTGTTGTGGCCTCTGGGCCCTTCACTGTCTAAAGAAGGACCTTGTTAAACAGTGGCACCACCCTTTTCCCTCTGTCTTGCCCTCGTCGTAGCCCCTCTGAACTCACTAAATTATCTAACAGAAAGTGTGGACAAACGAGGGGTGGTCTAAGACTCTGCTCCTAGAAAGTAGAGCCCACAGGAAGGGAAGTCAGTCCTGACTTCTCTGTCGAGCTCCGCAGTGGTGGTCCCTCTTCTGTCACTAACGTCCATCCAGGTGATGCTAAGGAAGCACTGGACCTTCCCTTGGGCTTAGACAGTGAGGGCAGCTGGAGAAGCATGAATTTTGGAATTACAACATACTTGGCTTTGAAGCCCATATTTATGAGCAAACCACCCCCCTCTGATCCTGTTTCCTCACCTCTAAAATGGGGATAGTACGGAATACACATGGACGTACAGATTAGAAACAGTATTTATAAAACTCCTAATAGGTACTCAGTAAGTGGTGGCTGCTATCATATCACCACATACTTCTTTGGGAGATCCTGGATCCTGTTTCAAGGAAGATACCAGCACCTCCCACCCCAAGGACAGTCTAAGGGAGCTTTGCACCTGTGCCAGCCCTCTGCGCCGGAGGAGGATGCATGGAAGGGTAGAGACCTGATGGACTGAGCCGGGGAGCCCAGGGCACAGTATCCTAAAAATGATGCCCTGGGTAGAGGGCACGGGTGGGCAGCCCAGGCCAGCAGAGGGGCCTGCGGGTTGGGGTTGACCATTCAAACTAACGCCTTCATTTCTCTCCCATGCTTTCTCCTCCGGCCAGGAGCGGAAGGTACATGCCCTTTCTGCTGTCTTCTCCTCTTAGCGCTTTTGAGTTTGTGTGTGTGTGGATTCTTCTGTCCTCCCTTTGGGGACTAGGTTTTTTTGCGTGCGGGCGGGGCTGTAGCTGGGAGAGTGGGCTTTGCGGGGCAGGAGTGGAGCCTCCGGGCCTTACCCACCCTCCCTCCCTCCCTCTCTTGCAGGTTTTCATAGAGCTGAATCACATTAAAAAGTGCAATACAGTTCGAGGCGTCTTTGTCCTGGAGGAATTTGGTAATTACACTATTTTGCTCTTAGGTCTGGACTCACCTGGCAGTAACTCAAACCTCGGAGCTCCAGAGGAGGGAGTAGGGGCAGGGAGAAGCACCACCTTAGAGAGAGGTCAGGAAGAGCAGGCGCACTAGGGAAGACGAGAGAACCTTGAGACAAGAGAGGGGAGAGGAAGAAGAGATCGAGAGAGGGGAGAGGAAGAAGAGATAGCGGGTCACAGAAGAGCCATGTCAGGGCTGAGAGCCTAGAGGTGGCGCTGAAAGGACTTATTGGCCTCTGCCACTCTCCCTTGCTTGGCCGGCTGGTGGTCAGAAAGTTCTGGGGCAGAGCAGCCTGGCCATCCCCAAGCTCGGCCGTGTCCATGTTGCCTGCTGTGATCCCTCCACGCAGCCACCTGGGGGCCCTGCGCCGACCTGGCCTCACCTCACCCCTGTGAGCAGGGGGGGCATGTGACAGTAACAGGCAGACTCGCTCCAGAAAGGAGACAGCCGAGGGGGCCTCAGCTCAGAGGGTCAGCTGTCAGGGGCAGCTGGGGCCATCCTCCCCAGGCCTCACGTGTAGGAGTGACTAGCGGGTTCTCGCCCTGGGGCTTTGAGTTCCTGCTGTGTTTGTGCTTCATTCTTTCGTGCCCCTCATCGCTGCTATGAAAACCTTCGTTCTCCAGCAGGTAACGTGATCGTGATCGCGGCTCGTGCTGCCTCTCCCCAGGCCCCTGCGATGGGTGGGGCGGGTCCGCCAACCAAAGCAGCTGCTCACATGGCCACGTCTTCCTTTCTCTCCCGCCCTCTTCCTTCCCAACTCCCCTGACCCCCTTGCTGGCTCACTGGTTCAAGTTTTCTCCCCTCGTGTGCTCCCTTCTCTCTTCCTGCTTGAGAGAGAGTCTGAGGGGCTCTTCCAACTCAGGGGAAGGACTTGGGGCTTCTTGCTCTACGTTTGATGAATGTATTGCCTGTTAACCCTGGGTGCCCAGGATTTTACCTCCCAGGGTCAGAAGAAGGTGTGGCCAACTCTCATCCTCCCCTTCTGGCCCCAAGGGCATACCATGTCCCGCTGTGCCCAGTGTCACAGGGCCATAACCACGGCGGCGGAGCCTGGGGGGCCTTACTCCTTCCTCTGGCCAAGCAGACCCCTGCATGGCTGGGGCAAAGTCAACTCTAAGTCTTGCATCCTGGGCTGTGGACATGTGTGTGTTCTGCCTGATGCTCCCTGTCACTCCCTCGTTGGGTGCTGTCCTCGCCTTCTCTTCCGCTCCGTGTGTCTGCTGCAGAGCCCTCTGACGCTCTCCCTCACACAGGCAGGCCTGGGCTGCTCCTGCCACTCAGGGAAGAAAGCTTACCTCTCGGATGGGTTTAGTATTTCTGGCGTCTTTATCCAGTCTCGGGACCCTCTGTACCAGCGTAAAGGGGCCTTTGTTTAACATGGCCAGAGTTTCAGGCTGCGGGTAGGATAAGTTCACAGGCTTCTCAGCAAAGTGAGGCACAGGCTAGAGACGACATTCTGCTCCCAGAAAAAAAGCCTGGACCATCCCCTATAGCTTCTAGGGGTCCCTGGACAGTAGCAAAGACCAGGCTTTTCCTGGGGTTCAAACAAGGAGCCACTGCAGGCTCCAGAGGGCTAGCTGAGTCCGAGACGGCGGCCTCTCAGAGAACCCAGCAGGGTCTGGACAGAACCAGCCGGAGGCCCCTGATCTGTGCCAGCCCAACGTGCTGCAGCTTCCGGGAGAGGCCTGAGGGAAGGGGGCCTGGAGCAAGGCGCTGCCGCATCGGGGAGCACGGCTGTGCTGCTCTTAGTTTTGAACTTTCTGTTTTGTCTCTTGCCCGTCCGATTTTAGTTCCTGAAATTAAAGAAGTGGTGAGCCACAAGTACAAGACGCCCATGGTGAGTGCCAGCCAGGCCCAGCAGGGGACCTTCAGGAGCAGGGGTCGCAGGAAGCACAGGGGTGTGAGTGGGGATCAGGAATGACGTGAGAGAGAAATGCAGTCTACAGGCCAGAGATTGCGCTGACGCCAGGCCTGGAGGACAGACTCATATGCATCCCCTCACCCCGGGGCGGCTGCTGCGGCCTTGCCTAGGCTTGTATTTGGCCCAGATGCAGGATCTTGCCTGGCAGGTCCTCCCTGCGTGGAGAAGAAGGCGAGCTCAGTGGGCCTGATCTCTCTCTCCCTGCTCTAGGCCCACGAGATCTGCTACTCTGTGTTGTGTCTCTTCTCGTACGTGGCTGCAGTCCGTAGCAGCGAGGAAGATCTCAGAACTCCGCCCCGGCCTGTCTCTAGCTGATGGAAGGGATTAAGCAGCTGCCCCAGCCCGGGGCCACCCCTTGCCTCTGCTGTTCCAGTGCACGATGCTGCTATGACTGAGGAGTGGAGGACATGTGACGTCTCTGCAGGCCCCTCGCAGGCCTTAGTTGGTTCCCACTTTTGTGTCTCTTAAATGTGTCTTTGAGCGTGTCCATCACAGGGCTAAGCTGATCTCTTCCACTTCTCCCTGTCCCCTCCCACTGTCCCCTCAGGGCTCAAGAGTATGTGTGAGTGTGAGTGAGTGTGTGTGTGTGTGTGTGTGTGTGTGTATGTCTGTCTGGTGAGCCAGTGGCTTCTAACAACTGAGTGTTGGCCAGTGTGAGTTCACTGTCATGTGTCCTCGAGATGTTTGTGTTGTTTTCTTGTCTGTGCTCTTGGCGTTGTGACCTCCAGTGCAGGAGTCCAACTCCGCGTCCTCTGTGGTCGGGCACAGCTGGCGCCTGGAGCAGTTCCCCTCAGTGGGGAGTAAGGGCGACCTGAGGCCCGTCCTCCTTACAGGTGGGAGGCGAGAGTTGGGGGCCGCTGGCGTGAGTGGCAGCCTCCTCATTCCCTTGTGCATTTCCCAGGCTGGGAGCCGTGACCTCTCACTGCACTAGAGCCGCTCTGAGGAATGGTCATGGTCTGCTTTGCCTCCCAAGTGAGAGAGCGGAGCACATGGGCTCTTAGAGTCCCAGGACCAGCTCTGTCCTGAGTCAGGGAGGGTGTGGGGGACCAGCCAGCCGCACACGTCCACTGCAGGCAGTCCCTCCTGGCACTGAGTGCTGGGAAAGAGGGCCGGCCTGAGGGTGGGCAGGAGGTGACTGTAAATATTTCTGCTCCACATTATTTATAGAAAATGTACAGCAGTGTGAATGTGAAATAAATGTCCTTCACTCCTCTCAGGCTCTTGGCCGCCCTGTGTTAAGGTTTCTTTTTCATCTGGGCCTGAGTAAGGCTGTTCCTGGACACTTAACACTGTGCCACAGGCTTGGAAGAAAGGAGGAGGCAGGGCTTCCCAGAGCCCAGCCCTGGCGTGTGGGAGCCCCAGTCCCTGCTTCCCACTTTTCTGGCATAGTAGGTTACTTCACCACTTGGCCCGGGCTTCCAGGGAGATACTGTGGGAGGGGACTTCCCTTCCCTGGGGGATCCACAAAGGTCTGGCATGCTAGGCACTGGCCCCAGGAGGGAGCCACCAGCCTGGGTGTTGACAGCTAAACTCAGCTCATTGCTGTCAAGTTGGAACCAGCTGGCAGCTGAGCCTCCAGCAGGCTTTCTGAGGCTGTAAGTCGCATGGGACTAGGTTGATTGCCTATCTTTCTCCCAAGGAGGTGCTGGAGATTTTAAACCACCAGAGAGGGGTTGCCTTTGGGTTGGCAGTGCAGCTCTCCAGGGACTCAGCCACTAGATCCCCCTGTTAGTTGAACAGAGATGTGGACTAACCTCAGTGAAGAAAAGCACGGGCCCAGCCACTGCCCCTTCCCCACAGCTGTGGGCAGAGACTCGGGGTTCACAAGTGTCTAGAATCTTTGAGGTGAATAAACCAGATTTCATGGAGCTTTCCCCCCATGTCCCTCAGAGACCCTCTGGCATTCCATGGGCAGGAAAAGACCCTCCTACATAGAGCTTTTCCAGGGCACCTCTGGTCCTGCTCACCCCTTCTTCCCAAAGAGAACTGATGGTGTGACATGAGAGCAGAGCAGGGCCCACAGCCCCAGTATTGGGGCTGGACAGGCCAGCTTTCTCTCTCGCATTTTCTGTCTGTCTCTGTCTTGGAGGATAAGGATGTGGGTGGGCTGTGGGCGTCCTCATGAGAACCCGATGGTTGCTCTTTGCAGCTCCAATTCAGACCCCCGCACACAGCCATGCTGTTGGCATCCCCTGCCTAGGCTCCCATGTGGGATGTGGCAGGAGAGCCTGGAACCCGGCTTTTGCTAATCGTTTCAAGTTTATTTGTCAGAAAAGGTGGTTTTCTGAGGAGGGATGAGGCTAGGAACATAGATGCACTGATCCTTTATTGCTCTCATGCATGTGTGAGAAGTCATGGCTGCAGATGGCTCCCGTCCCCTCCCTGTCGTTTCCCGAGCCCACACACCTTCTGCCACAAAGTTCTGAGAGCCCCAACAGGAGTTCTGAGAGCTGATCCCGTGTCTGCTCGCTGTAACTTCTGTGCCCACCTCCAGCCCCAGGATACACACTTGCGCACACACACCCCATCAGCAGGAAGGTGGTTTTCCCGGCTCCTCTTGGGGCTCCTGACATGCAGGGCTGGCGTTAGTCCCACCTGTGACACAAGGTCTTTTGTGAGGGAAAAGGATTGATGGAGACACCCCCCCCCCATTTTCTGATGGTTGTCCTGAAGCCCGTACCAGGGCTCAGCTTCACATTGCACCCAGGGGGTCGGCGTGGAGTGGGGTGCATACCTGGCTATCTCCGGGCAGGGAGCCGACTGGTCACTGGGGCACTGCGGGAGGAAGGAGGCCATGGTGCATGTGTGCTGTACCTGCCTGGCCCACGTGTGCTGTCCAGCCTTTTTAGAAGGCTAAGGGGGCACCTCAGTGGTGAGCCCAGAATCCAGGACCCAGTGGGTCCTCCCAGGGCCATGCTCAGAGCAGGTTGGGACAGCAGGGCAGAGTCTGGGGGCACCCAGCTCCCCTCCAGGGCTTGGGCCCTGCTCACCTCGCACCTCCAGGCGGCACTCACACTGAGCTTCGCCTTGCAAGTTGGTGGCTCGGCAGACATAGACACCCCCGTCAAAGGGGCAGGGTTTGCGGATCTCCAGGGTCAGCACGCCCTGCTTGCAGAACATGCGGAAGCGGGCGTCCTCACCCAGGTCCAGACCGTTCTTGAACCAGGAAATCTTGGGCTGTAAATCAGGTAAAGGAAAGGAAACTGTCAGAGGCTGCAAAGGCCTGGCACAGCCTGGGGAGATCTGTGTACGTCCCTGCGCCGGGAGTTCCCACTGGAGTTCCAAACTCTGCCCCAAGGCTCTATGTGGGGAGCAGTGCCTGGTCCTGACAGCAGCGGTGGAGAGAAAGCACGAGATCAGGGAGGACTGAGCACTTCATGCCTGTGACCTCAGTGCCTGCTTAGCCTATGTTGCCCCGACCAGGGCCTGGGTTCTCTACCTTGGGGCTGCCCCGGACAGCACAACAGAGGACAGCATTGTAGCCCGCGATGACTGACCGGTTGACGAGGGGTCGGGTGAAGCTTGGGGCCTCGGAGAAGTCCAGGGCCTTATAGCTGGGTGGCTGGTATGTAATGCCTGAGGGTGATGAGATTTGTACCAGCGGGGGTCACATCAAGTCTGGCCCACCCTCTCTGCTCCCTGTGGAGTGGGAGTAGGGGTACACTACCTGGTCTGGGGATGAAGATGGGCTCCTTGGTGGTGGCAGCTGTGTCACTGGGACCCACCAAGTTATGGCTGAAGACCCGGAAGTAGTAGCCATTGCCGATGATGAGCTCAGATACCACACATTGTGTGCGGCGGTAGTGCTCCAAGACTGTGAACCACTCCTGGGCGCGCAGGAGAGGGGGCTCAGGAGCCAGCCCACCCGTGCCAGACCCCCCAGAGGGAGGAGGGTGCCGGGCTCACTCTCACCCCTGCTAGACCCTCCCCAGAGAAAGGACGGTGCTGGCCTCGCCCCCACCCATCAGACCCCCCAGAGGGAGGAGGGTGCCAGGCTCACACTCACCCATCAGAACCCCCAGAGGGAGGACGGTGCCTGGCTCGCCCCCACCCATCAGACCCCCCCAGAGGGAGGAGAGTGCCCGGCTCGCTCCCACCCATCAGACCCTCGCAGAGGCTCATTCTAACAGCAGAGAGAGCATGGGCCCATGTCTCCTTAGGCCTGCAGGGACCACACGTGGCTGAGCAGCAGGCTCACCATTGTCTTCTTGTCGGCTTTCTGCACTGTGTAACCCCAGATCTCGGTGTTGCCATCATCCTGGGGGGGCTTCCACTCCAGAGCCACATTAAAACCCCAAGCCTCCATGACCCGGATGTCCTGGGGTGGACTGGGCTTGTCTGCAGGGAGGTGACCTAATCAGAGCTACGCCCCTCCTGAGCTGCCATCTCTGATACGCCCAGGGCACACACATGGGACGTCCAAGCTGGGTGTCCAAGCTTGGCCCCCTGGGACCCAGAGCCCAGATTAGGGACTACTAATGAGGGGGGTCTGGGGCCCCGCGCCACATACCGATGATCTGCAGGACCAGCGTGGCCTTGTCCTCCATGTTCTCAATGCGCACTGACACCTCGTAGGTGCCCGAGTGGATGCGACGGGCGGCCCGGATGAACAGGATGGTGTCTGTGGGGCTGTTACGGATGCTCACCTCCTCGCCTGCCAGCGGTTGTCCCTCTTTGGTCCAGGTGACCTGAGGCCGGGGCTTGCCCTGGGGGAGGACAGCTTGGAGCTGAGCCTAGTGGTTCTGGAGACCCCTCACATGTGGGTGAGTTTTTAGGGTTTGGCTAGCACAGAGATCCAGCCATCCACTGGATGCGGACTGTACACTGTCACCTCCCCCGGGGACAAGGAAGGGCCTGCATACCTGGAAAGGAATAAGGAGGTTCACAGGCTCCCCGACCTTCCTCTGGATGGTCTGACGTAGGTGCCTGGGCAGCCTGAGTCGTGGCCTCTCTGTGGGTGCAAGGTGGATACCTCAGCCCCAGCTTTGTGGATGTGTCTCTGTTCTTTGAAGTAAGGCACAGAGGGCTGCATCTAGGGGAAACTTCCCCTCCTTTAACTTAAGAAGTCAAAATGCGGGGAGCTCTGGTGGCCTAGTGGCAAGAAGCTGCAATGCAATCCCAGAGATAAGCGGTTCTAATCCACCAGATGCTCTGCCAGAGAAGGAGGGGAAATCTCCTCCTGTACCAGTCAGATCTGATTTGACGGTACAGACACACAATAATAACAAAAAAAAATTAAAAAAAGAAGTCAAAATGCATGTAAATCTGTCAAGGACCTTGCCAAGGTGTTAAGGAGCATTGCTATCAGTTTACTGACTAAGGTGCACCTGATTTAAGCCATGGTCTTTCCTATTACTTGATATGCATCTGAAAATTGGACAATGCATAAACGTAACAGAAGAATTGAGTCCTTTGAATTGTGGTGTTGGGGGAAAGTAGTGAATATCACATAGGCTGTCAAAAGAACAAATATGTCTTGGAGAAGGTTCAACCAGGATGGATGGTCCTTGGAGGCAAGGATGGTGAAACTTCTCACATACCTTGGGCATGATATCAGAAGTCAGGTGAGGCTCCACCACTCCTGCCACTGCCCAGCACTCAGCTCCTTTTTCTGGCTTTGCCCTGTCCTCCCAGGGGCTTGGGTCTCAGTAACAATCCTGTGACATGCACAGGAGCAGGGACGCAGGAAGAGGGCCTGCTACCCCTGTACACTCACGCAGTATCTCCTGCACCGTCACAGGCTCCTTGGTGATAACAGGGGGCCCCGACCCGGCCACGTTGTGAGCCCTCACACGGAAGAGAAGCCGGGCGCCTGTGGGCAGGTCCTTCACCAGCATGGACGTGCGCTCTGTCAGCCCCTGCAGGGCAGCCACCCACTCGAAACCTGGGGTGGGACAGAAGGCCAGGCTGGGGCAGTGTTGACACTAACACTTGACCACCTTCTGGGGTCCCTGGAAAGGTTTCCCTTGAAAGGTGCCTGGCCTGAGGCAGTTGAGAGCGGGGTACTGGGAGACAGAAGGGCTCAGAGTTGAGAGGGAACACTCACTGCCCTCCTGACAGTACTCCACGCTGTAGCCGTCCAGGCCACCTGCCCCCACACGCTCCGGGGGCCGCCACTTGAGGGAGACAGTGGTGTCTGAGACATCCTCCACAGCCAGGTGGGTGGGCTCGCTGGGGGGGCCTGGGTAGAGGGGAGGCCAGAGAAGGGCTGAGGGTGCTGGTGACCCTCTACACGCCACTGGATTCACACAGGATGTTACACAGTATTGAAAAACAACTCATAAAATATTACACAACATGCGGGAGCCTGGAGGGCATTATGTTGGGTGAACTATCTCAGTCACAAAAGGACAAATACTGTATAACACTGCTGTTATAAAACAGGACAGACATGGAAGGATGGGTTGGGGAGAATGGAAGAAGAGTGGATAGATAATGAACACTGCATTAGAGAAGATGAGAGGAACGGAAAGGAATATATATGACTTAGCATTATATGTATGACAATCGGAACAAGGGGTGCAATTTGGGGAGGGCTGTGGAAGTGGGAGGGAAGAAAATGTGCAACCATGAATTAAAGAAATTAAACAATTAAAACAAAAAAAAATTAAAAGCAAGTCTCCGGATGAATGTAAAAACAAACAAGGTCAACAACAGTGAAAAAGAGGAATCCAGAAAGCAAAAGGCAGGGAAGCGAACACAAGCCAACTGCGAGGATGCCAGCTCTGTCGGTGGAAGAGACTGAAAACGTGAGAGGGGGGAAAAACTCAACAAAAAGAGCCTAAAACTTGGACATTGCCTGACTCTGCTTCAGGCAGTTGGCTAAGAGCTGAACCACCAGAAATCAGTCAGTCCCTAAAGCTGGAAGCTTTGTCCCCATGCTTCCTGCCATGTCCTCAAGCTGTCCCCCTCCTGGGCTCAAACCATCATGCAGGGACAGATTCCCTTAAGAGTAATGGTTCTACCTTCCCAGCCCATCATACAGATGAGAAAACTGAGTCTTCAGAAAGACAGGATGGCGTCAAATGGCCCTGCCCAGAGCAGCAGAGCTGGCTTTGCAAACCAGACCCCTCACTCCTTGGGTCAGGCACCCACCACCCGCGTGCCATTTCAAACACAGCCAGGACTGGGTGGAGGGGAGAGAAGAACGGGGGGTCATGAGCATTTACTGAGCCCCTCCTGTATGCTTGGGCTCCGCATTAGCACGCTCTATTCTACCAGTAACTCTTTGAGGTGGATACTGTCATTGTCCCCATTTGATGGATGTGGAACGTGAGGCTAAAGAGGCAAGGGGCCAGAGTGGTGTGTCTCAGCGCCATGCCTACAGCTGGGTGGCTCTGAGCAAGCCATTCACCTTCTCTGGGCCTGTTTCCTCATGTAGCCTGAGGGTGAATGTATCTGAACTGAGGCCTGTCTAGTTCAAAGGGGGGGATACAATGCCCTCGTGTGCTTGCCACCCAAGAGCACTGCTGTCCTGGGAGCCCCAGGGCTTGGGAGTTGAGGGGCGGAGCCAGGCAGGACAGCCTCACCAACGGGCATGAAGGGCTGGGAGGCTGGGCTGGGCCTGGACATGCCGATGGCGTTGACAGCGTACACACGCATCTCGTACACGACGCCCTCGATCATGCGCCGCGCCTCGTGCGTCAGCTCCCGCAGCAGGTCGAAGTGCAGCCGCATCCACCGGTAGCTCTTCTTCTTCTTTCGCTCCAGGATGTAGCCTGGTGGGCAGGAGGCGGGCGTCGGGCCCAGGGCCCCGAGCACCTCTGCACCCTCTGCCCTCAGCTCCGCACCCCAACCCCACTCTGCCCCGTCCCTCGGTGCCCCGGAGCTCACCCAGGATGGGCTGACCCCCGTCGTAGGCCGGTGGCTCCCACTGCACGGTGCAGGAGTCCTCCCCCACGTTGCTGATCTTGGGGGCCGCGGGGGGATCCGGCACATCTAGGGAGAAGGACCTGCTTCAGCTCTGCCAGGCCTCTTGCCTCTGACAACGCTGCTCCTCTCCCACCCCAACTAACAGCTACAGGTTGCCGGCACCAGCCCAGAGCCAAGGGGATCCTTCTAGAACACAGTTCCAATCAGCTTATCAGCCTGCCATCACCCCCATTGTTAAGCACCTGGAGTGGGTTTTGACTCAGAGTGACCCACAAATGGAGCAGAGCTGCCCTACGGGGCTGCTGCCTCTCTGCCCTGGGGCTGCTGAGGGTTTACATTGCTGGTCTTACAGTTAGCCAGGTGTTTAACCACCGCACCACAAGGGCTCCTTATCAACCCTGAAAGGCCATTTATTGGGAGTTCTGGTGGCTTAGTGGTAAGGAGTTGTGCTGTCAACCCAAAGGCAGGCACTTCAACCAACTCCACCAGCTGTTCTGCAGAAGACAGATGGTCGGTCTCCTTCCACGCGATTTACAGACTGAAAACCAGGGTCAGCTGTCAGTTGGCTCTTATGCCACAGTCCATAACAACAACATGGCCCCTTTGACCTGTCCCATTGACCTCCCTTCCCTGAGTCACATTCTGCCCCCTCCTCAACCAGGCCCCCTGCGTGTTCATTCTTCTCCACAGCCCACACCCTGCCACACACAAGCTGGCTCCTCCTCTGGTGCCTTCCCTACCCCTCAGGTTCCTGTAGGGTCCCCCACAGGGATTGCTCTGCATTCAGGGCCCTCAGTGCACCTTGAACACACCTCCAGCAACATCCCTGCAAATCTGTCAAAGGTGGCTCCTGCCATCTCTTCAAGTCTCCTCAAGGGCAGAAAAGCCCATCCCGCTCACAGTCTGGCTCACAGAGGTGTCCCAGGACACTTGTTGAAGGACTACACGCCTAAGCAAGTTGGCTGGTGACTAAACTGCCTCCCTAGAATTGCCAATTGTCTGCTGTGAGCCTCACCGATGACCTTGACAGTGAGGTTGACCTGGTCCTCCCCCACGGGGTTCTTCACTGTGACGGAGTAGACACCCTCATCTTCCTTCTCTGCCCCCTCCACGGTGAAGATGCTGCGGTCTTTGGTGGTCTCCACGCGGACTCGGCCCTCAGTCTCACACAGCAGCTGAGGGGAAAGGAGGGTGACAAGGAGACAGGGCCTGAACCCGATTTCTGCAGTGGCCATCAGGCCTGAGGCAAGATCAGAGCTCCACCAGGCTCCGGGCGGGGGACAGCACAGCCCAAGTGGAAGGTGCACCCGTGTAAACAGCTAATTCAAAAACATTTACTCAGTACCTACCCTATACAAGGCACAGAGGCAAGGGGCCCAGAAGCTGGCTCTAGCTTTGTTACAGAATCACTTCACCTCTCTGAGCCTCCATCTTCCCATCTGGCAAATGGGAATAAGGCAACCTCACAGAGTTGTGAGAAACTAGCAAGACCCTCAGAAGGGCTAACAGGTGCCACGGGAGAGGAAAAGCTCACTGTGCTGCAGAACCAGGTTTAGAGAACGTAACACACTTCCCTGTGAATATACCTTCTCTGTGAATATACCTACGTGCTCACCTTGCACGTAACTGACATGCAAGACGAACTCTGTGGAGACCCAGCAGCTGTGGAACACACCAGCACACTCTGGCCAGGTGCCTCTGCCACCCCTCACTGAGGTCACCTCAGATGTGGGCGCCTTCAGAGAGACCTCGGCCAAGTGTGGACAAGTGAGCCCTGTCTCATGTCAGTCTCACTCACCTTCTTGTCAAACACCCACTCTTCGCTGGCATCTGTGTCCTCTGTGGCATCTAGGGTGGGCTTGGCTGGGGCCTTTTTCCCCTGGAAGCAGAGCAGGGGGGCAATAGGATGAAAAGAGGGCTGGGTCAGCCTGGAAGGAGCGGCCACCCCCCAGCCCCTCACGTCTCCCCTACCCACTGACTGCTCCCCTTGCCTGATCTCCTGGGCAGCTGAGCCTCTGAGCTCTCCATCAGTGACCAGCTACGTGTGAGGTTCCACGGAGGGTGAAGCAGGCCTCTGAGGGCCCATGAGCCCATTTTCTAGATGGGAAAGGGAGGCAGAATTCACAGTACCTGTGTGATGACCTTCTGCCAGATCACAGTGGGAGCAGGGTCCCCGGAGATGGGTACATCCAGGCGAAGCTTGTTCCCAGCTACGACGATGATGGTGTCTGGCGTGCGACCAGGGCAGTCCAGGTGGATCTTGGGGGGTTCTAGTGAGGAGACAGCAGAATTCAGAGGCTGGAAGGAGCACAGGTCCCTGGGGGTGTAGGTAGGGCAGCCAGGCATGAACCTTGGCCTCTGGTGGTGGGCTTTGCAATCAGTTTTATTGAGACTTAATTTACACACAAACAGAGTGAGAGTGAGAGAGAGAGAGAGAGAGAGAGAGAGAGAGAGAGAACACAGAATAAGCCTGTGTAAACACTAGCCAAACTAAGATCTAGAACATTTTTCTGGGAGGTTTGTAACACTGGGTGCCTAGTGTAGCATTTCTCAAACTGTGCTTAGGGAAACACCCATATTCCACCTCTACTTTCATTGCCGATGAACCAGAATAGACTTCTGCGGGTTTCAGAGGCTGTAAATCACATGGAGGCGATTGCCCACCTTTCTTCTGGAGACGAAGTTTGAACCACCAGAGGCCCTGCCTTCATGTTAGCAGTGCAGCTTCATACAGCCTGCACCGTGGGTTAAGCACTGGGTTTTACTGCAGGACTTCTCAGAGCCTTTCATTTGCTAGTGAACTTTCTAAATCTCCATGTGGTAGATTCAGAATTTAGAGTTTTCCTAAAGTTATCGCAGCGTGGAACCCCTTTCCAAATGGAGTGCCCTATTAACGGAACCCCGTCTGGCACACGGACGTCGTGTATGCCTCAGCCTGGTTTGTTCTCTGGAAGCTCACTCATTGCCACTGTCCTGACTCTCGCATTGACCTTCCATTTGATTTTCATTCCCACGGGAGGAGATGGCCCAGCTTTCTCCTGAGGAGTCATTGATGGATCCGAGCCGCCAGAAAAGTGCAATTTTGGTGTTAACGATACAACTCACTATGTATCACGCCACCGGGATTCCAAAAGATCTCATCTAAAAGTAGAGTTCCTGAGTCACATTCAACTCGACGGCACATAACAACAACAAACGCAGGAGGGAGACTCCGAAAGGAGAAAAGATTGAAGACTAAAGTTTCACATCTGTGCTGCCATTTGACAGCTCATGTACGTCATTTCATCTGCCAACCACCCGGAAGAGGAGGCATTATTGTTATTGATGTTGTTTACTGTTGTGAAGTCAGCCCACCCATGTGCTCAGTAGACTGGACCACCCACAAGCATCTTCTCAGAAGTTGCCTGCCACACATTTCTTATTTGCACGTCTCAGTCTGGAAGCCCAGCTGAAACTTACTCAGCATCATAAACCCAAACCAAAAAAATCACATCCACGCTACGTGGATTCTGATTCATGGTGCCCTCCCACGGGGTTTCCTAGACTTACATCTTTTTGGAAGACTTCCCGCCTCATCTTTGACCCAGGCAGTGGCTGTTGGATTTGAACTGACAGCTTTTCTAGGAACAGCCTAGAATACACTGCGCCAATGAGTGCACTGTGCCACCAGCACAGCAGAGCAGCACGTACACCTCCAGTGAAGCTGGGTGGGTGCATGTGAGGTGCACTGGAAGATAATCAATCCAGAGCTTGTACGTAGAAGGCGATAATTCTACCGCGGAATTAGTAGAGTTCTACTACTGTTGTTCTTCTATTGTTCTGTTGTGCCATTGGGTCAAGTACGACTGAGTCATGGCGAGCCTGTGAACAACAGACCTGGACCCTGTCCTATCCTGGGCTGTCCTTATCATTCCTGACACTCTTGAGCTCACTGCTGTAGACACTGTCAATCCACCTCGTTGAGGGTCTTCCTGTCTTTCATTGACCCTCCCCTTTTCCAAGCATGATGTCCTTCTCTGAGGACTAGCCTTTCCTAATAACATGCCCAACATATGTTGATAAAGCTTCACCATCCTTGCCTCCAAGGAGCACTCTGGTTGCACTAGGACCCCAACTTTAGAGATGGGGAGATTGAGACTTAAAGAGATTCCAGTGATCCGTGGTCTGGCAGAGCTGTGGCTGGGCTTCAGGGTTCCCATTACCCGATCCTAGCCCTTTTCCCTCAGGCTGTATGTAGTGGGGAGACACAGGTGAAGTGGGGTACAGGAAGGAGGACAGACGTGGCACACAGGGGTCCCAAGACTCACCCTGCCTGGGCACAAAGTCAATCTTGACCTCTGCAAGAGAAAAGAAAAGTGAGTGATGTTAAAAGCAAAGCAGGGCCCAGCGAGGGGCTCCCAGCCCCGCACCCCAGCCCATGCCACCCACCCCACATGCCTCACCCATGAAGTGGAGCTTGGCAGACAGGTTGCAGGCAAAGCCCTCGGGCACGAAGCTGTAGTCAGCCTCGTCTGCAGGCGTGACGTCGTCAATGGTCAGCTTGTGGACCCTGCAGGGCAGTGGTGGTTTAGGGGGTCCGTGGGTCACACCCCCCTGATTCCAGACACCCAGGGCTCCAGGGCTTCCTGCCCCTCCTAGCTCCTGGTTTCTAAGATTTTTTTTTCTCTAGTTGTTATTCTCCCTCACGTGCCGTCAGAGGGAGTCGTTTTCAGAGTAGAAGGGATTTCTCCCCCAAAGTGTCCCCTTGGCACTTAGACACATTAATCTCTGTGAACTCGGGCCCAGCACGGGCCGCCCAGATGCTCGGGAGATGAGTAAGAAGAGAGTGGGAGGGAGCACCGGCCGCGGGCCAGGGCTGCTGCTGGCCCTCTGGAGCCTCCTGCCCAGCCTGACCATGAACTTGGGGACGGGAGGGTGTTTCTCAACCCTCGTGTCCATCTGTCCCTGTTCTCTCTCTCTCTCTTTGTGTCACTGTCTCTGTCTCTAGGGGACTTTATTCTTCTCTGTGCGGCTCTGCCTCTGTCTCTTTCTCTCTAAGACTTCCTTTCTCCTTCTGTCTCCCTCATTCTGCCTGTCTGTCTCTCTGTCTGTCACTATCTCTGTTCCCCTTACCCCACTCTTGCCTGTTCTACCCTTTGTCCCTGGCTCAGCCCCTCTGTCTGCCTGCCCCTCTGTCCATCCTGTCAGTCTGTTTGTCTGTGTCTGCCGCTCCCTCCTTCTTGTCTGTCTCTCCCTGTCATGTGCTCAGTTTCTGTGTCTGTTTCTTTAGCTCTGCCTCTCTCTGTCCTCCTCCGTCTGGCACTTTGTCTCTTCCCATCTGTCCTGCTGTTTCCCCTTCAGTCTCTCTATGTCTGCATCTCTCTCTGTATATCTCTGCATCAGCCTCTGTGTGTCTGTCTGTCTGCCTCTCTCTGTCCATCTCTGTCTGTCTCCCTCTCTCTGTGCATCTCTGTGTCAGCCTCTGTGTGTCTGTCTGTCTGCCTCTCTCTGTCCATTTCTGTGTCAGCCTGTGCGTCTGTCTGTCTTCCTCTCTCCGTCCATCTCTATCTCTCTCCGTCTGTCTGTGTCTCCCTCCCCGAACCCGGTCCCTCTATGTCAGTCTCCCCTGTCTGGTCAATCTGCCCTGCTCGCCCCCCACTCACCGCCCAATGTGGGACACTTTGATGCGGTTGTCGGGCACCAGCTCCTTCCCGTTCTTCAGCCACACGCCTCGCACGTTCTCATCTGACACCTCGCACTTGAACACGGCCTGGTCCTTTGCGCCCACGGTCAGGTCTGCGATGCTCTGGTACACCTCCAGCTTCTTCTCTGCGGAGGAGGCGTGGCCAGTGAGCTGGGGCGAGCGTGTGGGCGTGGGTGTGAATCCCCAGGGAGAACACACGGGCAGTGGGTGCTGAGGGTGCACAGGTCGGTCCGTGTGTGTATTTGTGGAAATGCGGACGTGCGCGTGTGAGTGTGATGATGGTGCAGTGTGCACAAGGAACCTTGAGTGTGCAAGGGGCCCATCCATCATCCTCTGGGGAATTCATCTTAGCAGGCCCATTTCACAGAGGAGAAAGGTGAGGCCGTAAGCCCTGTGCATGGCTGAGCAGAGCTGGGCCTGAGAGGCTAGGGCCTCGTTACAGACTCAGTTGTGTCCCTCCTCCCCCAAACACATGCTGGAAAGTGTTGGGTGTTGTAAGTCCATAGTTTCTGAACGATAAAAAGAGCAGATCCTTCACTCCAGGGGGAATGTGAGAGCGCGTGACTTCATCTCACCGAGGAATGTGGGGTGTGAACACCGAAGGAGGCAGGGGGCTACCCCCGAGCGGAGCCGGAGAGCGTCCCTTAGGTGGCACCTGGCGCTCACCCTGCACGATGAGCTCGGCCAACGCCTGGCCCCCGCTGGTGCGCAGTGCGTAGTGCCCCGCGTCCTCCAGCGTGGCCTCGTTGATGATCAGGTGGTGACGCCGCCCGTCCTTCTTGAAGCGGTACTTGAAGGTCTCCTCCCGGGTCAGCTCCACCCCGTCTTTCAGCCTGTCCGGGGCAGCAGGCAGCAAGTGCCGTGACCTCTCCAAATGACCCCCACATCCCAAGGCTCACACCCCTGCCCCCCGGCCCTCTGGCACTCACCATTTGACCTGGGCCCCCTCCTCGGACACCTCACACTCAAACTCTGCCCGCTGCCCCACCATCACCAGCTGGTCCTCCAGAGCACGGGTGATGAGGACGGGGGGCTCTGTGCAGAGAGCGGGCGGTTGGGCCGGGGTCTGGCTGCCCTGTGGTCTGCATGCCACACCGGGGTCCCCAGGACCCACCTTTGACGAACAGCTCCGTGCTGCACTTCTCACCGCCCACCACACACTGGTAGGCCGCGTCGTCGGCCAGCGAGCACTGACTGATGGTCAGCGTTCGTTTGTTGCCTATGGACTCGAAGATGTACCTGGCAGGGGCCATGGGGTGTCAGGAGAGCCATAGGTTCACCTCCTGGGCTCAGGGTGCCCCCCAAACCTGCTCCTCTAGGGCCCATGGTGCCCCCATCAAACCCCCTCCTCCAGGACTCAGGGTACCCCATCAAACCCCCTCCTCCACTAGGATGCCCCCACACCTCCCATCCCAACCTTGTGGGAGCCAGGACTTACTTGCTGTGGAAAAGGGGAGACCATTGAACCATTACAGACGGGAAGAAGCCAGATCAAAAGACAGAGACAGAAATCAAGAAAAAGGAGAGAGAACAGACAGACCATCCAAGAGAGATTAGACACCCCCTCCACATAAGTGGGGGGAGACAGGACACATGTGGGGGATAGGTTGAACAGACCGTGAGATGCTGCTTCTCCCCGTGGGCCCCTCCATCTGTCCCCCAGCACCCCACTCCCCCGGCCTTGGCCCCACCTGCCACTCATCTGGATCTCCTGTCCATTCTTGAGCCATTTGACCTCAGCGTCGGGGTCCGCCAGTTCCACGGCCAGCCGGATCTTGTGGCCTTTGCTCACCTGGTAGGCTGGTTCCAGCTTCTTCTGAAAGACTGAGTGTGTGCCCCCTCAGCTGCCCAGCACCCGGCCACTGCACCCCGCTTCGTGGCCCACCTGGTGGTCACCCTCCTCTCAGGACAGCCCAGCCCCTCCACGCCACCCCTGTGAGCTCCTGCTTCCCTCTCTGTGTCACCGTGTCCCCAGTATTTCTCCTCCTCCCCCAATTCAACAATTTATGCCTGCTTTGCTTGTGACATTGGTTGGAATTCCCTCAGGGTAACTGCATTGCTCCTTTTTTAATTCCATTAACCCTTCTTTCTTACCTCTTTCTACTGTTTCTCTAACTCTGTTCTGCCTGTCTGCCCCCTTCTCTCTCTCTCTCTCTCTCTCTCTCCTCTTGTCTGTCTTTTTTGGGGTTCTCCCTACCTGCTCACTTCACTTGCACGCAGGGACAATGTAGGAAGCTCATTGTCAGAGGAGAGGCGCCGACCCCAGCCCCTCCTCACAGCCACATCACCTCTCACAGCTGTGCTTTCTTTAGAGGGGTGCCTGCCAGCGGTTGCAAAGCCACCCCCTCCCTCAGAAGGCTGGCAGTGGCTGTCGGGCCAGGCTACAGCTACCACACCGAGAAGATATTCAAGTCCTCAGATGCTTAGGCAGGGCCTGGAACCAGGCTGGGGGTGGAGGTGGGGGTGGGAGTGGGCTGGCTTCAAGTCCTGTGGTCGGCTGCTCTGTGACCTGGACTGGTTCCTTAACAAGCCTCAAGGTGCCTTGGTTTCCTCATTTGTAAGATGGAGCTAATAATAGCCCCTTGGCCATAGCCTTCTTTATTCATTGCCTAATATTTCCATGCACCTGAAGCAGCTGAAAAGGAAGCTCAAACAAGAATCGGTGCCTTTGATTCGTGGTGGAAGTGGAGAGCACTGAATGTGATTGTCAAAAGAACGAGTAATGAAAAATAAACAACCTAAATTAAAAAAAAAAAGAACGAGTAAATCTGTCCTGAAGTGAGTGAAGCCAGAGCGCTCCTTAGAAGCGTGGTGAGACTTCAGCTCACGTACTCTGAGCATGTCATACAGGAGAGGCCAGCCCTGGAGAAGGACATCATGCTGGAGAAACGTCATTGCGTTGTTATAGAGGTCAGTACACAGAGGCCAGGCCCTTAACAAGACAGACTGCCGTAATGATGGGCTCAGGCGCAGAGACTGTGAGGAGAGGCAGGGCTGGGCAGGGCTTGGGGTTCGGTTCTGTTCTTCATGGGGTCATTATGAGTCAGAGCCTGTTGCACGGCACCTAACAACACCACCACAGCAGCCCTATGCAATATTTAAATGAGAAAATTACACCTTGTCCTTTTGTTATGTACCTTAAAGTCCATTCTGACTCCTACTGACCCCACATGACAAAGCAGAACCAACATAGACGGTTTTCTAGAATGGAGTCTACTTGACGGGAGTGGATTTGAACCATCGACTTTTAGGCTGAGAGCCAAGCACTTAACTGTTGTGTCACCTAGCGCTCAGTACGAGAGCCATGTGAGGCTAAGACTCAAGTGGTGGAGGGCTGGTGGGCCCTTGGGGAGGTCTGTAGGGAGGGCCTTGCCCATCTGTCCCCCTTCTTCATATGTGGTTTTGTTGTGTACCATCGAGTCGGAACCGACCCATAGCTGACTCTCCAGCAGGCAGCCCAGTGGCAAGAAGGTGACCACCAGCAGCTGGTCCATGGGAGAATGATGGTCAGTCTGCCCCAGTGAGATTAACTGCCTCTGAAAACCCATTGGAAGATCAGCTATGAGTCAGCTACGACTCGACAGCACACAACATAACAACCCAAGTCACACTGGAGGAGATTGCCCATTATTCTCCCTACCTCCATATGTAGGTGTGTGCTTTTGGAGGGCTTATCTGCAGCTCCCTTTCCCACTCCATCTGTGGGGAAGCTGATCTGCTCATGCGACTACTCCTTGCAGTCTGCTGGCTGCCTGGTGCTTCATGGGGCTCCGATGATACAGCAAGGCCCCTGCTCTCCCCGTCTCACTGCCCAGGAAGCTCATTCCCATCCGTCCTTACTGGGAAGGGCTAGCCTGAGTCCTCCTTCTCAGACCGGCCTGGGGTGAGGTGGCTGGAGAGGATCTCCCCCCAGGTGTGGGTCTCCAGGCTAAGATGGCCTCATGCCTTTTCCTTTGGGTATGAAAAGCATTAACTTGGGCTCCCTTTCTGTTCAGGGGGGCGTGGAGGAAAACAGGTGACCTGATCTTTACTGAGTGTGAGCTGTTCAAGATGGACTGGAAGATGGAGCGGACAATGGCCACTGGGGGCGGCCTTTCTGTGCCTCAGTTTCCTCATTTGTAAAATAGAGATAATAATAGTCCCTCTTTCGCAGCCTTTAATGCAAGAATTAAATGAGACAACTATGCAAAGTATTTCGTTCCTCATTGTTATTAAGTGCCCTGAAGGAAATTGAAACTCATAGTGACTCCACGGTGGTGACAGTGGTAGGGCTTGCCTAAACCTCTCTGAGATTGCAGTGCAGCTTCTTGCCACTAGGCCACCAGAGCTCGCCTTGCCTGAACCTCTCCTTTTCTGTGTTGGGAAGGGGTCAACTTGTGCCTCTCCTTTCCTGTGTTTGGATAAGGGGTCTAACCTGCACCTCTGTTTTCCATGTTGGGTGGGGGTCTAACTTGTGTTGGGCAGGGGTCCAACGTGTGTTGGACAGGGATCTAACCTGTGTTGGGCAGGGTCTATGAGCAAGGGTTTAACCCGTGTTGCGTAGGTGTCTAACCTGTGTTGGGTAGAGGTCTAATCTGTGTTGAGCAGGGTCTATTATCAGGAGTCTAACCTGTGTTGGGGAAGGGTCTAACCTGTGTTGGTCAAGAGTCTAACCTGTGGTGAGCAGGAGTCTATGAGCAGGGGTCTAACCTGTGTTGGGCAGGGGTCTAACCTGTGCTCTTCTTCTCATCGTGCTTCATGGCCTTGAGTCTCTTGAGCATGCCCCTCAGGTCGGTGACCCCGTGCTGGAAGGCGATGCGCTCATACTCGGAGGGGGGCGCCTGCCGCAGGATCTCCCACACGTCCTCCTCGGCTGGGGCGTCCAGCTTCGAGTCTCTGGGTCCCACAGTGGACACACAGAAACCTCAGGGGGCTGCCCTTCCCTCTCACCTGGCTGGGGCTTCCTGGGGCTCCTGTGTCCCTCACCCCTCCACTGGGCAGCTTGAGCTCGGTATGAGGCCTGGACCACGGGGTTCCTGGCACCCAGGAGGCTTAGAGCTCAGTATGAGGAACTGTGTCTGGGAAGGGGTTTCTGGCTGAAGTAGGGGTGACAGGGGTACATACTGGGGTCCCTTGGGCACTCACCTCGGGGTCCGGAAGCTGCTGCTCCAGGTGGGGCAGAGAGGACAGAGGTCACATGAGCAGTCTAGGCTGCCTCCCCACAAAGACCTGAGACCCCACCGCACAGGCTTCCCCTCCGCCCTCTCCCCAGCTTTTATGCACCATCATTTATGGTGTCTGCAACAAGCGGGCCACAGGGCAGGGCCTCCTCCTGCCAGGAGTCCCAGGGACACACGTGTTAATGCTTGACTACTAGCCAAAAGCCTGGTGGTGGAATTCACCCACAGGAGCCTCGAGAGACAGATCTGCTCACAGCCTGTGACCCTCAAATCCCTGTGGAGCAGCTCCGTGGTGCCCTCACAGGGTCGCCAGGAGTCAGAACCAGCTTGACGGCAGCTAAGGGGCTCTGCCGTTGCATGGCAGGTAAACCTGAGGCTCAGAGAGGGCATTCGCTCAGCCCACAGCACCCTGGCAGGGATAGGCGCAGGCTATGGGTCCCCAGCCCCCTACTACCCAAAAGCCCCCAGACCCAGTTTCTTACTCTCTGCATCAGCAGCAGCCGTGACGAGCAAGCATCAGGAGAGAGGGAGCAGACAGACAGAAAACGTAAGTCAACTAGGCAGGGCCAAGCGGGCAACTTCTGCAGCTCTGGGGCTCCCTCCTAGATTCTTTGGGGGTCCCTGGAGCCCAGGGTGGTGGTGAGGATGGTTGTTCACAGGATGCCAGAACCTGTAACTCCTCCCAACATGAGAATGGACCCATTCGACAGATAAGGAAAGCTGCTTAGAGCGGTGCACCGTCCTATGTGGGGTCACACAGCTGCAGAATGGTGCTGCTGGGTTTGGAAACACCCACTGGGAGCCGTCCAGGAACGTACCTCTTCTTTAGCAGAGAGCTGAAGTCCAGAGTTCCCGCATCCTCGTGGCCATCACTACAGAGAAGACACCCCAAAGCCACCAGTGAAGTCCCAGTATAGGGACACAGTGGCATTTTTAGGGTGGCGTGAGACAGAAGGGGAACTGGTTGGACACGGGCTCCAGCCATCTCAGACCCTGGGGCTCTGTATGGGGCAGGTGAGGGGGGGGTAGGGAAGGTACCTGGTCCGCCGACCACCTCCAGCCACGCTTCTGTGGAGATTAGACACAATGTCCTCAGCTGCCCAGGGAACTTGCTCCTCCCTCCTCCCGCCTCCCTCCTCCTCCTCCTCCTCCATCGCCTCCACTCCTGACTTCAAGGTCCTCAGCATCTAGTGATGCCCCACCAGGTCCTGAGGAGAACCAGCTACTCACGGACGGCGGAAAGCAGATCGGAGGTCCAGGTCTCCAGGCCCAATGGCCTCTGGATGCAGAGAGGGGAAGGAGAAGGGAGGGCCTTCAGAGGGAGCCCGGGGCCCTGTGGATCTCCAGACCTGCCTGTCTGAGACCTGTAGGTGGTGCGCATCTGCCCGTGGACACATATGCTCAGCCTTTCTCAGGGCCACGGTGCCAGAGTTGTGGGGGCAGCTTGGAGTCCCAAGTTCACTTACAGATGCTGGGTCTCCCACTCTCCCTCAGCTCAGCCTCCATGTGTCCACCAGGCCCAGGCCTTGAGTGAGGAGAGGACTAGCACGACGGCCAGTACAGAGCCCCACCTGAGCCGAGATCTGGCTCTGCTGCAGATGCCACCCACACCTACCCCGAAGCTTCCATGGTTTCCTACACACCCTGGCTAAGCCTGGCAGTATTGATTGGCATGCCTGGTTCACCAGAGCTACCAGCACCAGCTGCCACTGAGTCGCCTTTGCCTGGACGGCAGCCCACTGTGCATCACAGGACTGTGCCCCACAGGGCTTCAGTGGCTGGTGTTTGGGAAACAGATTGCCAGGACTCCCTTCCAAGGCACCTCTGGATAGATTTGAACCTCTAGCCCTTCGACTAGCAGTTGAGTACAGTCTAGGGGCTCCTGCCCAGGGCTAGGCATGCACTTTACTATTGGGAATGGAAGCAGGACTACAGGACAGAACCCCTCACCGTGGACAGTGAGGTTAAAGTTGCAGCTGTCGAACTTGTCCTTGGTAGACACTTCACAACGGTAACCACCGGCAGAGGCAGCCTGGGCATCGGTGATGTGTAGCTCAAACAGGTAGATCTGTGGGGACAGGAAGGGCGGGCAGGGAGAGGTGAGCCCGCACATCTGAAGGAGGTGCCAAACGGTCCCCAGAACTCTGTTCACCACTCAAAGCTTTTGTGTCAATTAGGAAAAGGGACCCTTTCCAGGACGTGACTGCCGCCTGCTGGTCATGGTAAAACACTCTGTGTCAGGAACAGCCAAATGGCATTTGCTTAAGATGACCTAGTTGCCTTTGTGCAGGGCACAACCTGAACCACTGATCATGTTAGCCTTGCCCGGCCAGATCCCCCAAGCTGTCCCCCAGGACAGTGTGGAGGAGTGGAAGGGGCAGAGGTTGGGAGTGAGAAGTGCAGGTTCTAGGCTTGGCTCTCAGTAGCATTGGAAGAGTGTCTTCATCTTGAGTTCTGATTTTCTATGTTGTCGTCAAGCAGATTCCAGCTCATGGGAGACCCATGTCACTGCTCAGCAGGAAGCAGATTGCTAGGCCTGTCTTCCAAGGAGGCTCTGGGTGGTTTTGAACTTGCTAAGCTTTTGGTTAGCAGTTGAGGGCTTAACCGTTTGCCACCCCCTCCCCCCGCAGGGGCTGTGTGACGAGTTGTTCTGGTCCATCTCTGAGGACTCTTCTTTGAGGTCTGCTATCCACTCACCCACTTCATACCCTTCCTTGCTGATGCCTCTTCCCCATTCTTCACCATGTCCCCCAGCCTATCTGAACTCCCTGGGCCCCCAGACTTCACCATGTCCCCCTGAGATTATCATGCCCTCCATGACCCTTCCCTGAGCTGTGTCCTGTCCCATGGCCACCTTGGGTGCTTCGTGCCTCCCAGGATGATCAGCTGCCTCCCTGGGGCTCTCATGTGTCCCCTCCGTGCTTCTACTGCTCCCCTGTGCCTCGACTTCCTGTGATCCATGACCCCCTCATTCCCCACTTCCTTCTCCCTGACCCCCCAGGTCCCTCACCCTCTGTTCCCTCTGACCCTCCATTTGCCACTTGCTGTTCCCTCTGACCCCCAATCTTCATGCCTTGTCCCCCAGACCTTTCATTTCCTACTCCTTATTCCCCCTGACCCCCATTCCCTACTCTTTGACCCCCCCATTCCTCACCCCTTGTTTTCACTGAAAGCTTATTCCTCCAGACCCCCCATTTTCTACCCCGTTTCCTCTGACTCCCCATTTCCCACCTATATGCTCCCTGATCTCCACTCCCCCACCCACTGTGCTCCCTGAGCCCCAATCCCCCCCACTCTTGTGCTCCTTGATCCTCTATTCTCCCACCTCCATGCTACCTGATCCCCATCCCCCACCTCCCACGCTCCCTGCTTTGCTGTGCCCCCTGTGTCTGCCTCATGATGCTCCACCCTTCCCATTACCCCCCTGCCTACTCGTGACCCCTGTGCCACTTACCTCACCATGGCCCTGCCTCCTTGTACCCTCTGCCTACCCAGGCCCCACACCTCTAGGTGCCCCCTAGCCTGTCTGTGCCCCTGCCCACCTGTGTCCCCTCCTCACCAGGCCTCCACTTTCCCAGGCCCCCAACCTTGTGCCCCAGGCCTCCACTTCCCCACACTCCCAGCCCCATAGCACAGGCCCCACCCTGCTGGCCCCCTCCCTTGTGGCTCAGCCCCCATGGCACAGGCCCCATCTTGCTATCCCTCACTTCTGTGCCCCAGGCCTCCCCTTCCCCATGCCCCTATCCCCGTGGCATGGGCCTCACCTTACTGAATCCCCACCCCTGTGTCCCAGCCCCATGGCACGGGCCTCACCTTACTGGCCCCCATCCCTGTGCCCCAGGGCTCTACTTCCCCACACCCTCAGCCCCATGGTGCGAGCCCCACCTTGCTGGCCCTACCTCTGTGCCCCAGCCCCATGGTGCGAGCCCCACCTTGCTGGCCCTACCTCTGTGCCCCAGCCCTATGACACAGGCCTCACCTTGCTGGCCCCCACCTCTGTGTCACAGGCCTTCACTTGCCCACACCCCCAGCACCTTGTGAACTCCAGAGCCCCATCTTGCTGGCCCCCACCCCTGTGGCCCAGCCCCCATGCAAAGGTCCCACCTTGCTGGCCCCCACCCCTACGCCCCAGGCCCTACATCCCCAGCCCCGTGGTGCGAGCCCCACCTTGCTGGCCCGGTCATAGCTGTCGTGCAGCTGCAGGTGCTGGCCCACCTTGCTGCTCAGATCCATCCACTTGCCTTTGAACCACTTGACCACTGGCGGCTTCAGCAGGCTGGCCCCGGCCACCCGAGCGGAGAAGGTGATGCTGCCGCCTGTGGGGGAGGAGCGAAGCTGGGCTAGGGGATGCTGGGTGACTGCCTCCCACCCACCCACCCCTGGGTGCAGCGGCCCCACACTCACCCATGGTCACCTCGCCGTCTTGTGGTCGCATCACGAAGAGACCAATGGGGTCACCAGAAGCTCCAGGGGACCCAGTGCCATCAGGGGGTTCTGAGCTGGAGCCTGTGAACAGAGAACTCTTAGTGCTGCCCTGGCACATACCCAGCCCCTGCTCTGTCCCTCTGCCCAGTCCCCTCACCTGCAGGTCCTGGGGAGCCTCCTTGCTCCTCGGTGGCTGGGGCCAAGGCTCCAGGGCCTCCAGGGGCCTCAGCAGGGGCTGGGGTAGGATCTGGGGCAGGGGCTGGTGGTTGCTCTGCCTTCTCTGAAGAGAGGAAAGGATTATGAGGAAAGACTCTGTCCTTCTGTCCCTTTTTCCTTCTTAGTCTAGCAGGCCCATCAGACACCGCAGAGTGTCCAGAGCCTCATTCTGTGGACCTCACCGTCACGCCCTTCTACCCCCTCTGCTGTTTAACTCCGCACCTGTCCGCACAAGCCCACCCTCCACCATCTACTCTGAGCCTCAGACTCAGCACGCACCGTTGCCAGGCTCCTCCCTCCAGGGAAGAAGCCCAAACTCACTGCCCCTCTTCCCTCCATAACTAGCTTTCCCCCTAAGAGCCCTGGAATTGCAGAAGAGTGGCCAAACAAAAAGGTCAGTGGTTCAAACCTCCAGCAGCTCTGTAAGAGAAAGATCTGACAATTTGCTCCCATAGAGAGTTTAGCCTAAGAAGCCTCATTCTGTCACACGAGGTCACCGTGAACCAAAAATCTACTTGGAAAAAAAGAAATCTACTTGATGGCGCCTAACAACGGTACAATTGCTCCCCCCTCTCTCACAGGAAGCTCGTACAGAGCCCAGGAGCCCACCTCCCTCCTCTCCACGCCCTCACAGGCCTCATCCTCCAGTCCCTGGGGTTATGAACAGCTCTGGATTCCATTCCTCCCCACACCCTCAGGCTGGGGTATGTCTCAGGACATGCAGCCCACCAGTCGCCACATTCCTACTTGTCACCCATCTGTCATCTCCCCAGGGGGCTCCTGGGAGTGCTTTATTGGTCTCTGTACTTCCTCCTCCCCCACAAAGGTTGGCGCAGGCTTTGGGAGGATATTCAGGGCCTCCAAGGGGTCTTGCTGCGTAAAAGGGGTATAGGGCCTTCCTGGTGGTTAGTGGGGTGAGGGACAATCAAAGCAAAGGCAGGAATGTGGGGGAGCACTTGTGCTTCCTGACAGATGGAGAGGTAGGTGGTTGTGCTTCCCATGGGGACAGGCTGACCAAAATCTTACCTGCCTCTATGACTTTGAGGTCAAACTTGACCTTGGAGGAGCCAGCAATGACCGCATAGGTCCCCTGATCTGCAGGGCCCACGTCATGCACGGTCAGTGTGTGCCGCATGCCTTCCGATGTCAGGCTGTACTTCTCACTGCCGCTGATGTCACTGCCCTCCCGCTGCCAGCGCACCTTCACTCCTGCCCGCTCTGTTTCCGCCTCGAACTTGGCAGAGCTGCCTGTGGCCACCTCCGCAGACCGTGGCTTCTTGCTGAAGGCTGAGACTGAGAGCCCAGACGAAGACTGCAGGCTGTCGCCCTCCCCACGGCTCACACGCACGTGCCCTGCAGCCCCTCTTGGCAATATCTGGACAAGTACTGCATAGACGCTGCTTTGTATTACGTTCCAGCAACTCAACAAGGTGGGGGCAGTTCTGCCCACTTCTCAGCTGCAGACACCAGGGCTCAGAAAGGCTGAGTGACTTGCCCAAGATCACACAGCCACTAAGTGGGAGACTCCTATGGTCACACAGACTATTATGTTCTTGAGTCCCCCACTATCCCTGCTTGAGGACACTGCGGACGAGCCCTAGCCACCCTCCCAGTCCCTCACCCCCACCTCCACTGATCTGAGGACACTCGTTTGGGGGCAGGTACTCGGCCTACTTGGAATGTGGCTAAATTTGTCCAAGGGCCCCAGGCTGACAGGCAGCAACTGAGATAAAGCTGGCCTCAGAGGGGGGCTGGGGGAGCAGGGTTCCTGCGTGACCTTGGTCAAGGTGCAGGCCAAGAACAGGACCAGTGCCCTGGGATCTGGGGCTTGTGGGATATTCTCTCACAGAGCAGATGGACTGCAGTCACCTCGAGGTGGGGCCACGTCGGGTGTGGGGGCCACAGAGGACGACCACCAAGCAGGAACTCTCAGAGTTGGAAGGAACCTTAGGGGTGTGGAGGCCAACCCCTCCTTGGACGTGTGGGGAAACTGAGACCCAGGGAGGTAGAGATTTGTCCAGGGGTGTTTGGTGAGCCTGGCCCAGGTCTAGACTAAACCAGGGCTCTCCTTATAGAAGCCTTTTCCCAGAAGACAAACCCAGGCCCAAGAGGAGAAGGAGGGCAGGTGCAGGAAGGGGGTCTCTCCGGGTCCCAGGAATGGGGTGTCCTGCCTCTGTTATCTCCTCTCTCTGAGTCCCTGCACCTTATTCTCACCAGTGAGATGAGGAAGGTGATCCTGAGGAAGAAGAAAGGACCCCGGAGGACCGTCCCCTCTGTCCTGGGGCTCAGAGGGCTCATGCTCACCAACCCCTTCAGCACTAGCTTCTGCCACTACTCCCCAAATAGGACACCCTGAAACCTCCCTGTGCCCACACTCAGGCCTGACCCCAAACCTAGAGCTACCTGGCTTCTTCCCGGGTTCTGGCATCCTGGGAGAGAGGTCACACCAGCACCGCTCAGACGCAGCCGAGGGACTGAGTGGGAACGGGCCCCCTGCACTATATAAGCGCCCCTCTCCCTCCCGGGCCCTCGTTATCTGCCTTCTCCTGCCCAGCCACTAAATATAGACAAATTCCAGGGAGCTGAGGTCTCTCATGGGAAGGTGAAGGCCACATTGTTCCTGGCTGGCCCCTGTCCCGGCCCCACCCCCAGCACAGATAAGATGCCTGCTGCTGTCAGCTCTCAGTGACCCTCAGGGGAACCAAGCACTGTCCATGTGTTTGTCCAGCAGGTTGAGGACGGTGGATTGAACGCATCCTCTACCTGGCACCTCCCTGGGCATTGCAGGCAGTAAGGAGCAATGGAGTGTTGAGTAGGATGGGAAGGGGCAATGCGTGTTCTAGAGCCTCCTTAAAGGGTTGTGTGGGGCCGTGAAGGACCCTGAGGGGATTTATCATAGTTATGAATACTGTATAAGAAGTGCCAAATGCAGGTTTCCTGTTATTAGAGGGCCCCCATCGGCATAGCTCCCAGGCTGGCCTCACGCTGTGATTTCTGGATCATTCCAGGGCCAAATGGGAAGGGGAAAACATTGAGGCTGGCGTCACCCAAGAGGAAGAAGGGTTGGGTGAGCCTGTGGGTGAATCTCTAAATCCACCCCATGTGGAAGGCAGAGAGAGCGGGGGCTAGCCAAAGCCCAAAGGAACGATGACAAATATCTTGAATCCCTACGTGGGCCCCAGTGTGATCTCTTGTGATGGGTTGAGGCCCATTGCCCAAACTCAAGAGCAAGCTGTCTACACAAAAAGACATGCATTGCACTAAGGACACATGTCTACACGGAGAGACACGCATTGTGCCACACCGTGTCAGTCCACTGTCTGTGGTGACCACCTGTGAGGAAGGAGGAGTTCTCTACATGAAGCCTTCTGGATGGCAGATGCACAATACACCCTTGTGATGGCATCGCAACCCCTGTTCCCTTCCATCTCAGGCATCCTTCCACCCAGCACCACATCTGGCTTCCTCCGCAGGAGGACACAGGCTTCACCTTTCTCTGGGCTCTGGGGTGAGGATGGGGTGTGGGGTGGAGGGGTGAGAGGTATTCGTGGTTCTGTAGAAGGGTTCTCTAGGGAAAGTGGGAAGAGGGTCCCCTAAATAACAGGCCCGGACTTAGCCTCTGAGGGAGAGGCGCAGAGGGAGAGGGTTGGGGGCAAGAGCCTCCTCTCTCCCAGGCTATGGCAGCCACTTCATGGTACCATTGGAAGCAAGGCAAGCATCACAATAGATGGTGAAGAGATTGAGGTGGTTAACACTTTCCGTTTGCTTAGCTCCACAATCAACACTCTTGATGCCAGCAACCAGGAAATCAAAAGATTAATTGCTTTGGGAAAGTCAGCTCTCAGGGACCTCACCAGAGTCCTGAAGAGCAACGATGTCAGTCTGGAGACTAAGGTGCACTTGATGCAGGCCATAGTCTTTGCAATTACTTGCTATGCATTATAAAGCTGGACACTGACTAGGGATGATAGACGAATTAGTGACTATGAGTTATGGTGCTGGAGAAGAGTATTGAATAGACCATGGACTGCTAGGAGAATGAACAGGTTTGTCCCAGAGAGAGTAAGACCGGGCTGCTCCTTGGAGGCAAGGATTCTGAAGCTCCGTGTGACATATTTTGGGCATGTTATAAAGAGGGGCCAGTCCTTGGAGAGGGACACCACGCTTGGGAGGGTAAAGGGACAGTGCAAGAGAGGAAGATACTGGATGAGATGGACTGACTCAGAGACTCGGGGAATGGGGGTGGATGTGTCAGAGACCATGAAGTTGGCTCGGGCAGAGCAGGATTCCGAGTGGTTGTCCGGAGTCGCCGGCAACTCAATGACACTTAACAATAACACATGAGCAAGCAGGGAGCCGTAGGTGTGAGCACATGAGTGAACAGACGTGCATGTACTATGAGCACACGTGAGAGCAAACGTGAACACGCACGTGAGGAAGCATGAGGGAACATGTATGGTCACGTGTGCACGTGTGCGTTTGTGAACAAGCGAGTGATCATAGGTGTGAACACAGATATGAATACTGTATATTGTGTCAGCATGTTGTTGTTTTGTACTGTCGAGTTGGAACTGACCTGTAGCTGACCCTACATTTTCAGAGACAGCACATTGCAAGGCAGGAGACTGCGCGTCTGGTGGATTCAATCCGCGTGCCTTTGGGTTGGCAGCCAGCAGAGCTCATTGTGAGTCGACACAATGGCAAGTGTATGAGCACACACATGTGCAAACAGGAGCGTCTATATGTGAGTGTGCATGGGACTAGGCATCTGCACAAACTGGTGAGCATATGTGTAAACAAGCATGTGGTCAAAGGTGTAACACAGGTGTGAGCAAACGCAAGCCTGCACCAATACGACTAGGGAAACACACATACGCAAAACGGAAGACTGTACACACACATGCATGTGAGCATATGGACGAGCAAACGTGAGCATGTGTGCTTACATGAGAGCAAGCATGTGGACATGCCAGCGAACAGACATGTGAGCAAACAGGTTAGCAAATGTGTCAGTGTGCACGACACCAGGAGATGACAAAGGAGGGATGTGTGTCAACCACCTTCCTGGGTGCTGATTCTGGAAGAATCAGATTCTGTGAGAATCACTTCCCGCCCCCACGAAGCCTTGAGCACAAGTATCGAACCCCCACAGGCAGAGTGCCCCACTGCAGAGAGGGTAGGCTGGGAAGTGGAATGTCCTCTCTCTGGGGGCAGCTTGTTACAGGGCAGCAGTAACCCTGGAGGTGCAAATCAAAACAACTACGAGATATCATCTCACCCCAGTCAGAATAGCAAAATTTAACAGAACAGCAAGCAACAAATGCTGGCGGGGTGGTGGAGAGACTGGAACCCTTATTCACTATTGGTGGGAGTGTAAAACGGTGCAACCACTGTGGAAAGTGGTGTGGTGCTTCTCAAAAAGTTGCAAATAGAAATACCACTTGACCCAGCAATTCCACTACTGGGAATGTACCCCAAAGAAACCATAACCACCACCCAAGCACATATATGCACACCTATGTTTATCGTGGCTTTGTTCACAGCAGCAAAGAGTTGGAAACAACCTAAGTGCCCATCAACAAATTAATGGATAGAGAAGTTGTGATGTAGTCACACAATGGAATACTATGCTGCATTGAAAAACAAGGAGCTCATGCAATATTATTCAAAATGGGTGACCCTGGAGGACATTATGCTGAGTGAAATATCTGTCACAAAAGGACAAATACTGCATTAGTTGTAAAACAAAATTTACATAGGGGTTGGGGGGAGACTGAGAAAGATGGGATAAATTATGTATACTGTATTGAAACAGATGCGAGAACTGCTTAAAAGGTATATATAATTAGGTATTATTGTCATGAGTCCAGAACGAAGGCTGCATAGTGGAGTGGACTTGGGGGAAGGGATTGTGTAATAATGAAAGAATTTTTCTTTTACTTTTCAAAGAGAAGAACGAACTGGAGGGGAGCGGTGGGCAGGGAGAAAAGTGCAACAATGAATGAATGAATATCCAAAATCTCTGTAAATTTTCATTAAAATTACTACTGTTGTTAAGTGCTGTCGAGTAGCAGGCGACTCATAGTGACCCTATGAAGGAGAGTCCTCGACGCATGGGTGCCTTTCATCCTCTCTCCAGGTTCATAGGGTTTTTTCCGGAGGCAAGCTATTATGTCACTCCTCCTTCCAAAATTAGTACTACTAATAAAAAAAGATCCAGTCAGCCCTGCACCAGTTATGTGACCTTTGACATTATCTGCCCTCCACAAGCCTGTTTTCACTTCATAATATGGGATGATAGCAAATTCTACCTCTCAAAATTGGCATCTAACAAATTATCAGAAAACACAGAATTGTTATTCTCCTTGGACGTGCATCCTAAAATTACGACTTCAAGCCCTACTGAGGCTAAAACAAAAAATGAGTGCAAAGAGCTTTTTAATATAATTTATTCCCCTAATAAAAACTGAAGAGATCTCTGGTGGACTGGTGGGTAGGGGGTTGCCCTGGCAACCCAAAGACTGGCTGTTCAAAACCACTTGTGTTACTCTTTGGGAGAAGGATGGGCGATCTCCTTCCGAGTGAATTATAGCTGCTGAACACCTGCCAGAGGGTCAGCTATGCGTTAGTTCTGACTTGACAGCAAGGAGCTTGAGCTTTCTCCCATTTAATAAAAGCCAAAGGAGTCCTGGTGGCGCTATAGTCAAAGCATTAGGCTGCTAATTGAAACACTAAGGGTAGTGGTTCAAATCCACCAGCAGCTGTGCAGAAGAAAGACGTGAATTTGTTTCCGTAAGCAATGGTTTTATGATGCTGTTCTACTCTGTTCTATAGAGTTTCTGCGTGTTGGAGTAGACTGATATGAGCGAGCTTTGGTTCCTTCTATTTTGTTTTGATAAAAACTGAGGCTGTTTTCCTTACACCTGACTCTGCCTCTGCGTCAGGCACTGCATGTCATCTGTCCTCAGGTCCACAGGGTCCAGCACTGGGCAGGGAACTTGGCCAGCCCCCAAAGCAGAAAAAAGAACAGACTGATGTGTTCAGGACCCATAGACAAGTGCAAAAAGTTTCTGATAGTCTATTAAATGTATAACCTTGCCCAGAGTGTTCCAAGGATAACACTCTGGGCAAGGTTATATATTTTATAAAGAGACTATCAGAGCTGCAGTTTTCTCTGAGGGTAACTTTTTCATCCGTTCTCCAAGGGACAGATGAGTAAGAGACCAGGAAGGTGTTGAGGAGCGAAGACTCAATTTACACAAACAGGATTTTGGGGAACTCCCAACGAGATTGAACTAAGCAAGACTTCTGTGGGGTCCGGCTCCCAGTCCGGTGGGAGGTGAAGCGGGTCCTAGAGGCTGAGAAGAGGAGCATGGGGGGTGGCGAGGCCTGGCCCGCCACAGTCCTGCCTCTGGCCCCGCAGCGTCCCTGTGTGTCCGGCTGGCGAGGGTTAATGCTATGGGCGGGGAGGCCTGGGGCCTGTGGGCTCAGTGGGGTGGGTGGCGGCGCTCGGCCAGGCCCCCGCGGCCCAGCACCTCCCCGCTGAACTGGTAGGTGAGCTTCTTCTTGACCTTCTTCACCTCGCCCGTCTTGCCATAGTTGCGCAGGGCTCGGGCCATCTTCTGGTAGGTCATCTTCTTACGATTGCCCTTCTGGATGCCCCAGCGGTGCGCCAGCGCCTCCTTGTGCTTGGACGAGAACTGGAAGGTGCCCTTGTCCTTGTCCACCCACCAGATGCTGTCCTTCATGTCGCCGCTGCGGAGCAGGTCCAGTAGAAACTGGTACAGGCGGATCTTCTTCTTGCTGCCTGCGAGGGAGGGACCAGCAGGTAGAAGAGGTCAGGCTGGCCTTGGAACATCCCACTCCACTTCACCCTCCTGTATGACTCCCTCTGGGAGGGCTACAACCCACCAAACTTGCAAGGAGGATTCTCATTGACTGGTGCTAGGAGGGTCTAGGGGAAACTGAGCCCCAGCACTAGGTGCACGCCCCACACCCGTGCACCCAGACCATAGAAATGCACAGAAAGTTGTGCATACACAAAACACACTCATGTACAATCACATACAGCAAGATACGCACATACACCTGCATACACACAGCACAGAGATACACACACATACAATCGTGTAGTCATACACAACAGACACACATGCACACACAGCACAGAGAGACGCACGCAGTATAAAGAGACATTCATACTGACACTCACATGAAATCACACAGCGCAGACAGATGCACACATCCACTCTCACAGCAGGGCGTGCACACAGCTACACTCACGTGCAATCACACAGCACAGGCTGCTGCACACACATACACAACCACATGGTGCAGTGGATGCACGCACATACACACAACCACACTGCATAGGCAAATCAACACACATACATACACACACAACCTGTGTGCGCACACACATACACAACCACACAACACAGCAGATGCACTCACATACACACAACCACCTGCATAGGCAGATCAACACACACACATACACACAGCATACAGAACAGGCTGATGCGTCACACACACACATACACACATCAGACAGCACAGACTGGCGCACACACACACATATACAACCACATGACACAGCAGATGAACGTATACACACACCACACAGCATAGGCAGATCAACACACACACATACACACAGCATACAGAACAGGCTGATGCGTCACACACACACATACACACATCAGACAGCACAGACTGGCGCACACACACACATATACAACCACATGACACAGCAGATGAACGTATACACACACCACACAGCATAGGCAGATCAACACACATATGTACACGCACAACCTCACAGCACAGGTTGATGCACACATATATATACAATCACACTGCACAGGCTGATGCATGCGCACACACACACAACCATACAGCACAGGCTGATGCGCGCACACACACACACACACACACACACATATATATATATATATACAATCACACTGCACAGGCAGACACACATAGCAACACAACCTGTGCACACTGACACACCGCTTAGACTGATACACATACACACAGTCACCCGGCACAGACGGATATATACACATGCACAGTCATACACAGCGGACCGATGCCTATACATACACTACCACAGCACACATACATACACACAGATGCACAACAGTCACACGGCACAGACAGATGCACACACAGCACAGGGAGGTGCTGCACCGACATAAGCACAGCAGACAGTTGCACACACGTATAGCACACACATACTCACACAGTGCAGACAGTTCACTCGGCACAAGGGAATGCACACACAGTGCGGCATGAGAGCCGAGTGAGGGGGGCCTCGCTGTGCTCGGGCCCAGCTGTGGCCGGCCCTACCTGTTTCCCCGTGCAGGAGGCCAGGCCCTGGTTCCAGGCCTTCGGCCTCCCCGTCAGACACCTCCAGCGGCGGGCTGTGCCGCTCACCCTCCTCCTCATCCGTGCTGGGCTGGGCTGGGGACAGGGACGAGTAGGGTAGGCACATCCGGGGCAGGTAGGAAACCTGGAAGTGAGGAGAAAGAGGGCATCAGCGGGAGCTGCTGCAGGAGAGAACTTGGGCTGAGGGCTGCATGGATGGCAGGAGGCAGACAGGTAGGGAGAAGGCGGGGAGAGTCGGGTCACCCTGGGCCATCACCCACAGATGACCGGGCAGTGACCTGCACAGGCCTCTGAGGTGGGGACACAGGATTTTTCCTAGTTTGGGTCTGTGTGGCCTGTGGAGAGGGCTCCTTTTTCTCAGCTGCGCAAAGGCATTATATGACTAAGAGTAGCCCTGGGCCCCTCAAGCTCAGGGCCTAGAGGTCAGTGTCAGAGACGGGGTGTGTGTGTGGGGGGGTGTATGTGTGTGTGTGGTGTCTCTAACAGCTGGGAGGGCCTGGAGGGCGAGTGTGGGCGGTGGGAACTCTCTTGGGTCTGACGGTCCACAGAGCAGGAGGAGATAAGGGTGGGGGTCATGAGGTCAGCCAGAGGGTCAGGAGGCAGCCGTTGGGGCTCCGGCCGCCGTTGGCGCTGTGGGACAGGAAGCTGGGTTGGGTAAGAGCCTGTGTCAGCTTCCTGTGAAGCTCCAGGCCTCACCACAGGCCGGCACCCGGGCTCCTGCGGGACACGCACCTGGTGGCCGAGGCCGGCGTGGGACGGTGCCATGGGGGTGTCCAGGACGTGCATCTGCTCCAGCTCCATGTGGCGGTAGAGCTGCTGCAGCTGGGGGGGCTGCACACTCTGCAGCTCGGTGAAGTGGTTCTCGGTGAAGCTCTCGAACTCATTGTGCACGTGGTGAGTATGGAAGTCCCAATAGTGATCTGCAGGGGACAGGGCAGGACAAGGGCCCAGGAAAATCACCTCAGAGCACCTGGCCTACTTGTGGTTCTTGCCCTGAGCTCGGTTCCACCCAGTTAGTTCTAACACATAAGTGGCTTACAAACAACAGAGCAGAACCCTGCTCTACCCTGTGCCCCCTGCCCCATCCTGTGCCCCCTCCCCCCGCCTCACAATCTCTGCTGTGCCCGGGCCCATATTTGGAGCTTCTGTGTCAGGCCAACTCCTTGAGGGTCTTCTTTTTCTCTGACTCCCTGCTATTTATTTATAAGTTTCTTGTTTCATGAACACCACTCACTTTGTCATCCTGTTGTTAGTTGACACTGAGTCGATTCTGACCCATGGTAGCCCCTGTGTCCAGAGCGGAACTGACCAGCAGGATAGTCAAGGCTGTGACCTTTCAGAAGCAGTCCACCAGGCCTGTCTTCCGAGGCACCTTTGGATTCGAGTCACCAGCCTTTTCTCTAGGAGGGGAGTGCGTAATTCTTTATGCCCCCACCCCCAGCGGCCCCTTCGTTCAACCTCTCCATTTCACACACAAGAACCCTGAGACCTGGAGCATTTCATGCTCTTATGTCCCAGAAAGAATCAAATCTGAGCTCTGTCATGTAATTTGGTTTGTGATCTCAGGTACATCTGTGGGCCTCTCTGGCCTCAGTTGCCTCACCTGTAAAATGCGGCTAGCAGCTATTGTGAGGATACAAATGTGTTTATGTTTTAGAAACTCCTCAGCAGAGAACCAAGGAACCATGGTGGCACAACAGTTAAGTGCTTGGCCTGTAACCAAAATGTTGGCAGTTCAAACCCACCCACTGGCCCCACGGGAGAAAGACCTGGTGATCTGCTTCCATGGAGATCATGGCCAAGAAAGCCCTGTGGAAAGGGGGAACCCAAAGAGGAAGTGGGAAGAATGAGGTCACCCTGAAGGCATTGAAGCTAATGTCACGAAACAAACAAAGGCATACGCTGCTGAGCAGAAAATAAACATACTCTGGATGTTCACCCAAGCCAATACATTGAAAAGAATAAGAAAAATCTTATCGATAGTCCCAGTTTACCATGTAAAACCAGTGCATAAGACTTTGAAAAGCAACCCTCTGGGCTCTCATGCTGGGAGTCAGACAACAGCATGGGCACAGGACTGCAAGGCCCCCGTGAGGCCGCCCCTCTCCCCGCCCTGACACTCCTGCTGGTTCCTGCAATGACTGGCCACCCACGGTCGCACACACAGGCCTAGCCAGTCACATGGCCAAGGTGTGACTGCAGAGTCATAGGGCAGACCATGTCCTTCTGCAGGGCTGTGGGCTGGGGCTGTCACACCTGCACTCCACCAGCCCTGAGACTCCCCTGGGAACTCCCCGTGGGTGTCCGTGGCTGTGATGGGACTCATGTCTGCAGAACTGCCAAATGTCAGTGGGTGTCCTGTCCTGCAACAAGGGCACATCCCCAACAGGGTTTTCCTGCGCGCCTTTCCAAGGAACAAAACCCAAGGGCTCCCAGTATACATGATGGGGCTCGAGAGAAAGTGGGATCATCAAGTGACAAGAGGGGTTTCCTCATGTGACCACAGAAGGGAGCACACAGACATGCTAGGCCAGAATCACACCTCTGGGATCAGTGCTTAACCCCGGGCGAGCAAGTGCAGGGAGCGTGTGTGTTGGTGTGGGAGTGCATTTGTGTTGTGTATGTGGGGTGTGTGTGTGTGTGTAGTGTGTTTATGTGTGTCTACGTAAAGTATGCAGGTAAATGTGAGGAGTATGAGTGAGTGTATATGAGTGAGTGTGTTGGAGGGGTAGATATATGATTGTATGTGAGTGTGGTAGTGCGTGTGAGGCAGTATGTATGGGTATGTGGGTTTGTGTGCATGTGAGTAAATGTGTGACTGTGAGTATAGGGTGTGTGTGAGTTGTGTGTGGTGTGCATATGACAGTTAACTGAGAGTGTGTGTGTGTGTGGCGTGCACGTGACAGTGTGACTGTGAGAGTGGGGGGTGTGGTATGCATATGGCAGCGTGAGAATGTGTGAGTGTGTGTGTGGTGTGCACATGACAGTGTGACTGTGACTGTGTGTGTGTGGTATACATATGACAGTGTGACTATGTGAGTGTGTGTGTGGTGTGCACATGACAGTGTGACTGTGTGTGTGTGTATGTGGTGCACATGACAGTGTGACTATGTGAGAGTGGGGGGTGGTATGCATATGGCAGTGTGAGAATGTGAGAGAGAGTGTGTTTGTGTGTATGGTGTGCACATGACAGTGTGACTATGTGAGTGTGGGGGGGGAGCTGTGGTATCCCTATGGCAGTGTGAGAATGTGAGAGAGAGTGTGTGTGTGTAGTGTGCACATGACAGTGTGACTGTGAGTGTGTGTGTGGTGTGCACATGACAGTGTGACTATGTGAGAGTGTGTGGTGCGCACATGACAGTGTGACTATGTGAGTGTGTGTGTGTGGTGTGCACATGACAGTGTGACTATGTGAGAGTGGGGGAAGCTGTGGTATGCCTATGGCAGTGTGAGAATGTGAGAGTGGAACTTTATGTGTCCGAGTGTGTGGATGTGATCGTGTGTGAAGGTGATTGTACGGAGAAATGAGTGTGTGGGAAACTGTTCTGGGGAATTGGGGGGGGGTGAGTGTGTGTGTGTGTCTTCTTTTCTGGCCTCCCTCCCCCACCGCTCTCCCTCGATGCTTCTCACTTGGTCTCTGTCATAAACACATAATCAAACGCTTCTAAGAAATTAAGTGTGTTTTTAGCTCTGGACTGGATATCAAAGGACTCACGTTCTAATCACAGCTCTGTGGTGGATTTGATGTGTGAGTCTAGACAAGACATTTTATCTCCCTAAGCCTTTGATTGCCCCTCCAAAAGTCGGGGCCTCATCTGGGTCTCATGTATGCAGTAAATCATTTGACTCCATGATGCAGGCCATCAGTCTCCTGCCTCTGTGGGGCACAGAGGGAAGAAGGAACATCTGGAAGTGAGCCACAGGTGGGGCCAAGTTCTGCCTCAGCTGTCTTCCACCAGGTAGCTCATTCTATTTGTCTAGGCCTCCGTTTCCTCATCTGTAAAGTGGGCCTAATAATCACACCCATTCCAGGCTTGTGCATTAAACGACTGATGAATACAAAGCACTTAGACTAGAATTTGGCACAAAGTAAACTACATGCATGTTAATCTTTATCATTATTATGGTTATTCTTTGATTTGTTAACACCCCCCCCCCATTCCCTCCGTGGCACTGAGGAATAGCTCTGGTCCCACTGTATGTCCCTCTGTCCCAAGGACTGGAGTTGGAGCCCCCATCTTGCACAGTAAGGATGGGCTACTAACAGTCACCTCTTTATCTCCAGTGGGGTCTCAGGGTGGTGCAAAGGATTGTGTGCTTGACTGTTTGCTGGAAAGATGGCAATTCAAACCCACTCAGAGCTTCCATGAAAGGCAGGCCTGCCAATCTGCTTCTGAAAAATCACAGTCCTTCTCTGAACACATTTGGGGGTGGGGGGGGCACAACACAGAACAGATTCAATGGCCGTTGGTGAGGTTTGCTTTTAGGGACTCTCACTACCTCCACCTAAGTGCTCAACAAACATGTCCTGAACACGAGTGAGTCCCAGGCTCCCAGGGACTGTCTCTCCGACTCTCCATGAAATGATCTGAATCTGAAGGATACTTCAATCCTGCAACGAGTTCGCCCTGCCTGGGGGAGAAGTTGTCCCATCCTTCAGCGTGGCTACATCTGGAGCGTTGGGATTTGTGAGCAATCCAGGTTCCCCTTTTACCGTGGATCCTCCCTTGCCCTGACCTTTCCCATTTCCCAGGCTCTGGTGCGAAGATCTGAAAATGCCTTATCAACCCATCAACCTGTCCTCTAATTCCCCACCCTCAAACCTGCTCCATCACTAGGGTTCAGAGGGAGTACCCAGAATACTCTCCAGGTGGGGTAATGGGTCACCAATTGCTCTCCTTCCCTTCCCCCCCACCTTCGTTCTGGCTTCGCTTTCACCCACACGTTCTCATGGTGGTCTCAGCTGAAGCTGGAATTTCCCAAAGTGGAAAAGGACACCTTTATCCAGGTCCTCTGGGGGACAGGCCAGACCTGCACATTTGAGGTCCCCAAACAGACCCACTGAGTCAGAAGCTCTGAGAGTGGAGCTGGGGCTCTGCACTTAAGGGGTCCCTCTGAGATACCTGTGCTTGGTGCCCTCAGGAACCCTGGCCTGAAGGCTGCAGCAGACTCCCAGGCTACGATTAAAGTTTCAAAAGGTGCAATGGAAACCTCACCTTTGCCCCTGATTTGGGTGCCCAGGCAGTTACATAATAAACGCCATGGCAGAAACGTTCCAAACATGGGGCCCTCCAGGTACAGGGTATAAGAATCCTTCAGGGCAAAGGCCAGTGCTCCAAACCTCATTTCTGGGTGATTCTCCTCATGAACCTAATGCTTATCCCTTTCTGACCATTCACAGGGCAATTCCAGCCATTCCACTGTTTAGGACCCTTTGCACGACTTTCTGCTCCTCAGAAGACTAGAATGTCAGTAGCCTGTCAGGAGGTAGTGCTGAGCCCTCCTCTCTGCAGCTCGTTAGGCACCCAACACACAGACCTCAGTCAGTATTTGATGAAATGACCAACGAAGTGGTCTTTCGTGTGGGTTTTATGCACGAGGCCCTGAGCTAAACCTTCAATCCACATAATCTCACTTCATCTTCACCACAGCCCTGAGGAGGCGGCCACTGCAGCATGACCTTTGTTTTGTGCACAGAGAAACTATGACTCAAAGAGGTTAAGTCCCTTCTCCACAGGCAGACGTTGGTGTGGAGTCAGGATCCAGACCCACCCCTGCCTGACTCCAGGGACTGAGCTCTGCACCTCCGAGGAATGAGACGTTAATGAAAGCTTTAACTCTCCCCTCACTCCTGGTACGTATAAGTGTCATGTACATGTTCCCCAAGTTCAAAGTGTTCTGGTGTTGGGAAAGGGGCATG